AGCTTTATATCTAAGCAGCGTCCTCTTCTTTCTTTACAAAAAAGGGCTATAAAACTGGTTACTGGCTTGTCTAGTAGTATGGATTCTTTTCTTACAACTAAAATACTTCCATTAAATAAAAAGATAATATATACTAAATCAATTTTCTTATATAAAATATTCCACGAAACAGCCCCCTCTTACTTATCAGATCTATTTTCTTTTAACCCTTTATTGCATGAATTATTGGTTTACTTGGTAAAAAATTTTTGACTTCATATTTCTACAGCAAATGGACTAACTTGAGATGTAGGGAACTTTTTATTTGAATAGATGATAAATATCACAACAATTTTGGTCGTTGCAATTCTGCAACTATGCGCAACGATCAAACTTTTTTTCCATAATAAGAAAAAAAAATATTTATATAGAATTGTTGATAGAAATGTAAATAACTTGTACAAATCATTTGAGAGTAACAATAGTAACATGTAAGTTTATTTATGATGAAAACAAAAGTAAAAACATGTACACTGAAAGAGAAAAAAATAACTGAAAAATTACATGCAGGTTTATTTAGTAAAAAATTTATTAGCATTTTTTTTTGTTTGCTATACAACAAATAAAAACTTCTGTGCATTCTTGGTGCAGGACAACCTGCAACTAAATGATATTGTCTATGTAAATCTTGAGCCCAACATATTGGGGAACACTCTGAAATAATGTCTGCTCAATATTAGCAACAGCACTTTGTCATCTTGTCCCTTTGTAGCTTTACCTGTATGCACTTCAAAATCTTGGATTATACAAGTTGTTGGACACAACAAAAACTTTGTAGCCCATCTATATGGCTTTCCATGGTTGTAGGTTGGACTGCTTTTGCCTACGATATGTGAATGGGTCGATTTTCTCATGAATACTTAGAATCTCAGATGGCATGGGGTTTGATAAGCACATAGTTCCGACATTGGTCAACTTCTGCCCTTTGAACATTGTTTGACAGGTGTAGCTTATTCTTAATCCACTCAAATCTATTGATGGTTATGTCTGTGACAGTAACACATTAGGTGGCAAGGCACCAAGACCTTTGGTATCTAGAATTTTTTTTACAATGTTTATGTAAAACAAAATTTCCAGGAGATGTTTTTGTTCATCTTTATCCAGCACTAGTGGATTGTTTATGTCCTGCTGAGGACATAGTTTCACAGGTGTATATTATTCTTTATCCGCTTGAATCTGTTGATGGTCATGACGTATGTGACCGTAACACACTTGGTCGCAAGTCTCCAATACACTCTGCATATATGAGTTTTTACAATGTTTATGTAATACACACAATTCCTAGGAAATGTTTTAGCTCATTCTTATCCAGTGCTAATGGATTGTTTGTCCTGCTGAGGACATTGTTTGACAGGTGCAGATTATTCTTATTCCGCTTGAATCTGTTGATGGTCATGATGTATGTGACTGTAACACACTTGGTGGTAAGGCTCCAATACACTCTGCATCTAAGAGTCTTTAGAATCTTTATGTAATACACACAATTCCTAGGAAATGTTTTAGCTCATTCTTATCCAGTGCTAATGGATTGTTTGTCCTGTGGAGGACATTGTTTGACAGGTGCAGATTATTCTTATTCCGCTTGAATCTGTTGATGGTCATGACGTATGTGACCGTAACACACTTGGTGGTAAGGCTCCAATACACTCGGCATTTAGGAATTTTTTACAATGTTTATGTAAAATCTAATTTCCGGGAATAATCTTTATCCAGTGCTAAAGGACTGTTGATGTCATGTTAGAGGACAGTACAGGTTGGATTGATACACAACTGTCCGAACACAGATTATCTATAAAGATGTCGTTGAAATAATCCAATGGCCGCCTCTGATGTTTGGCTTCTCTCCTAGGATCAGGAAATGGTGGAACATTTGCTGTTTACTGGGACTGATCATTCTGTTGTTGCTAATGAAGACCTTGGTGTAGACAATTGAGAAGGTCCTGAGGAGTTTCATCATTTTTCGCAAATGGGCATACTCTGTAGAAATAAATTTTGAGAACATTATTTGGTTATAAATTATGCAATAATTGTATACAAAACAATACATGCTTTACTAATCTACAATCAAACCTTTAAAGTATGCAATAATAATATGTTACCTTCAACTACGTCAGACAAATCTTCATCACCAACATCCGATAGGACCCGGGTACTGTTTACGTTCTCTATTTCATCATTGGACAACTCACTATCTTTTGAGCCAAAAGGAGTAGCTCAGAATAAACTGGTAGAAGACTTTCAAATTAGACTCTTGGATCCATGGTTATGAATATGTGAAACCCTAAAATAAAAACAAAAGGTTATTCATTAGTCTAGCTCTAGTCTTAACGATAAATATATAAATAAAACTAATAAAACTATTGTTAGGCTATAATTTATTATGATTATTATAGGCAAAAACTAGATCTAGAAGCTTTAAATAATATGCCACAACACTAAATGTATTTCACATCATAAAATAAACTATTTTGTGTCTAGAAATAATTACCAAGTAAACTAAAGTCTAGCTCAGAGCAGCCATTTTTATTTATTCCGTTGCATGTAGTTGCATTACTACAACAATACAAAACGTAGGCCTTACTAATGAAATATTAAGAATTTTATTGTGAAATCAACTAAATTAGTACTAATGCATAGTTGTTATTGTAAATATATTTTTTTCGGTAATCCCTTAGTTTAGCGTCGGAAATTATCGGGTAATGTTTGTTGAGTTTCGGTAGCTAGAGTTACGGTAAACCATGGTTTATTTGACCATTGAAATATAAATAAATTGAAAGTCGATTGTAGTAAATTAATGTTTTAATTTTTTAAGTTTAATCGACTAAAGAAAACAAGAATAAATATAATAGTAGATTTAAATTAGTAGATCTAAAAATTAAAAAAAACATATATAAATATAAATAATGAAGTCAAATGTAATAATTTAATGTTTTTGGCTTGCAGCGGATTTGCTACCATTAATTAATAGTATTTCTCGCTAACTTGGAGGCGTGGTCGGTTGCTAACAACAATATGGCGTCCGGACCGGACGCTTGACTTCCGACGATTTTTCGGCCAAATTCCAGAGACCTTCTACTAATTAGTTTTTAAAATGTTTACCACGCGCAAAATGGCGGGACTTTCACGTTATAACAACAAGCTATAGGTGGCAGGGCTATATATGCCAGAAAAGCATTTTAAAATTTGCGTTGGAGAATGAAGGCTAAATTTAAAAGTTGGTTTCATCAAAAATACTACAACTTTTTAAATATCGATTTCCATATTACAAAATTGATTTCCATAGTAAAGCATTATTAGTTTTATCAGTCTATGAAAAAATAAATCAAATATCGCCAACCCTTTTTGTATAAGACCAGCCACAAAAATGACAACCAATTTTTTTTTTAAAAATAAACCACGTGACCACTATTTGGAGATCACTAGTGAGGAACTCTTGTGCATGGCCACTTAAAAAGTCTAACCTGATTTGTGGTTTTCTTTACCTTCAAGGGTTAGAAGAGTTGTCATGGAGAGATGTGTTGGACATGGCAGTGATTGACAATAAATATTAAATTAAGTAATTTAGTTTAAAAAGAACTAAAAACTCCAAAATTAGTGCCTAATGGATTAAATATGGATGTCTATTATTCAGTGGTCATGTTTAAATTGATAATTGCGTAAATTCTAGATTTAGTGAGAAAAACTATTAATTAATTAGATCTAGATCTAGCTAGATATCTAGCTGCTAGACCAAGTAAAAAAATCTAGATTACGAAAATAGTAAAAATGATTACAAAATGTAAAAATGATTACAAAAATAAATCTATCCAAAATTTAAACATTCTGTATAAAAATAAAAGATGACGCCAAATAAAGTATTGTTTACAGTACTTCCGGTGAATTCCGGAAGTGTGTGACAGACTTTGGCATTGTTTTACTGTTTTTTACTGCTATACGATTCCGGAATAATAACCGACGCTAAACTAAGGGATTACCTTTTTTTCAGCTAGTTTATTATAATTTTAACCAGGTTTTAACGTAATTTTATACTTACCATTTAGCAAAAAGCAGAAAAGTGTAGATCGCTTCTAAAAATGTCCGATTTGAAAAAGAAGAATCTTCTTTTCAAAAGAGTTCCGGTATAAAATGTAATAAAAAGTGCTATCCGGAGTAAAATTAGTTGAAAACGAAACAAAATATTAAATAATACAGTACTTGATTACTCCTAAAGTATTGTTGCAAAACTGCAACGCTATGCCATATAGGGTTAACATAAAATTAGGTCGTCGTCTCAATTTACCATTCCCTTATTCAACCTTTTTCCAAAAACATAGCTTCGCCTACTCTGGTTCTAATTTGTGGAACAATCTTCCTAATAAAATAAAGCTATCTAGATCTGAAAATATATTCAAATCTAAATTAAAACTAAAATTATTTAATGACCTAACTGACTCATTGTAACATTTCTCATTCATCTATTATATTCTCTTTTTTATCTCATTATGTATGATTGCTATGTACCATTGTTTCTTTATTCCACATTTTCAGTGCTATGTGTTACTGCTATGTGTTATTGAATTGCTTTATTTGTTTAAACGGCCAATGTGAAAAAAGGCCTTTGTGCCTACAATTGTAACCGTTGTTTGAATAAATTTGAATAAATTTGAATAAATTTGAATAAAATTTCTCTAGAATATTATATAAGATTACCAATGTGCATTCACATTTTGTGAATGGCTTTTACTGGAAATGTATTCATTTTTATATGCTTACATTAGATAAAATATAATATTAATTGCACTTTTTATGCTTTTTTAACTTTCTCGTATATACGAAGTAGGCCTATAGAGAAAGTCTTGTAATCGTGCAAAAAAAAATCGAGATTTTTGGAAATCTCGACGTTTTACACCTAACGGATACGGAAAAACATAATTTAATGCCAGCCTATTAGCTCACAAAACGTGTGTTTCTCGATGACTCACCTGATTTATGTGTATGAAAGAGGATACTCGAGCTCTCGCCCTCCCCGCCGCCGCCCACACCTCGAACCGACACTTGGTACCTAGTGTATGGTGCTAGACCGTTGAACTTAATGGCACTGTAGTTAGGGAACTCCGTAGTATTATATGATTTATTTATTGTCAACTGAAATTTAAAGAAATTTAAAGTAAACAACAATTTTAAAAATATTTTAAATCAAAACAAAAATATAAAAATAATAAATACATAAAAACGTTTATAATTACAAGCTTTCATAAATGCACCAAAAGAAGAAAATAATAACATTTTTATTAAATATAAAATAATTTTTAAAAATATAATAAATCTGCGGTTCCTTTAAATATAAAAAAAAATTACTTTCTTTAACATATTAATGCACTACTATTTATACTACTACTAATAAAACCGTGGACCGCTTGTTTAAATACTTATTACTATAGCGGCCCACGCTTTTATATATAGTGATATAAATAGTAGTGCATTAATATAATTAAAGAAAGTAATTTTTTAACCATCAACCCATCAGACCATCAAACCATCAAACTATTAAACCGTCAAACCATCAAACCACCAAACCATCAAACCATCAAACCATCAAACCATCAAACCACCAAACCATCAAACCATCAAACCATCAAACAATCAAACCATCAAACAATCAAACCATCAAACCATCAAACCATCAAACCATCAAACAATCAAACTATCAAACCATCAAACCATCAAACCATCAAACCATCAAACAATCAAACTATCAAACCATCAAACCATCAAACAATCAAACTATCAAACCATCAAACCATCAAACCATCAAACCATCTACCATCTACTATCAAACCATTAACTCAGCACAACATCTTCCATCAAACTATCTAAAATTACACCATCACCCTCACCCCCCCCCCTTACCTCCAGAGTTTCCACAAAGTCTTGGAGCCGTGTCAGACGTATCCGGTACCGTAACTGTAAACCCAAGTAGCTGAGTTCGGGTACCAGACTTTTTGAGAACTCATTCAGTCCAAACACAAGAACAGCCTGGTTGGGAGTCAAGTCAACAACGTCTAACTTGACAACTTTACCCGGTCGGACTGAAAATAATGTCAATTTATTGATTCTAGACCCATGCAAGAAACTGGTCACAGGTTTGATAATTAAGCACTAAAAATTGCAACACAGTTAGCTTTTAACTGCAATACTGAACAAGCGTTCGATCATCTTTTAAAGCAAGCGTTTGGTTAGCCTTTAAATAAATGATTGAAACACTAAAGTAAGTTTTAATCATACGCTAAATGAGACTGGACAAGTCAAAGTTTATTTTTATTTCAGTCGCTACACTATCGACAGATCATCAATAATACAGTAAATCAGCTGACGAAATCAAGCGGATCAATTAAATTCAACCAATAAAATGTAAGAACTCACCGTTACCTACCTGATAGGCAAAGTCACACGTGAGTGTTCAGTCTTTAGATGCAGCACATAATACAATAAAATATTCTACCACTTCCCTCACGACATACAATTATCTACTTCTATAAATAAGCAGCTAGAAACCAACACGAATACTCAACTGTAATCTATCACTCTGTAAATGCGAATCAGGCTGGTATAAGGGGGTCTGGAGCTCGTGATATTTATTATGATGTTACTGTTCTCGTCAATCATGTTCTCATCGACCTTCTGATTTCTGCACACACATGCACACACGTCTGATCCATCGAACGACGTCACACCACAAGGATCGCACGAGAAATCTGGCCTTACAGAAAAAAAGGAAACACAAACACAAGTAGACAACCAATGATAATACTGCATGTTGTTCGGTACAAGATTCACAGAAATTAGGATGTGTTTTTTGTTGAATAAATAGCAGAACAACCTTGTGCTCACCCTTCATCGTCTGGATCCTGATCGCCCCAGTCGTCTGCTACAGTCATTGTATAGTCTCGACAACTCAGGTTGTACCCTTGAACTTGCTCAAACACCACCAGTACATCCATTCTATCAGAACTCACGAATCCCTTCACTTCCATTTCTTCTGATAAACGGATTTTTAAAAAAAATATATCTCTAAAGGTATTTGTATTTTCTACCCAGAAATTATGCATCTAAATATCTATATGGCCTATATAGAAATCATGCATCTAAATATGTATATGGCGTACATAGAAATCATGTATCTAAATATATATATGGCCTACATAGAAATCATGCATCTAAATATGTATATGGCCTACATAGAAATTATGCATCTAAATATGTATATGGCCTACATAGAAATCATGCATCTAAATATGTATATGGCCTACATAGAAATCATGCATCTAAATATGTATATGGCCTACATAGAAATCATGCATCTAAATATCTATATGGCCTACATAGAAATCATGAATCTAAATACGTATATGGCCTACACAAAATTCATGCATTTTTAAATGTGTATGTAGTCTAGACAAAAATCATGCATCTTTAAGGGTAGACACCACGGATAGATTTTTTTTTTTAATTTAACGCATTTCTGGGTATTTAATAAGTACATATGTTAGTAGTTGTTAGGCTATAGACAAAAATAATATATGGCCGTCAATAGCAGTACTGGTTGCCATGGGAACCGCGAAAAGGTGTGAAAACTAACACCTTTTCAAATCGCTAAGGCTTTGTTCCCATAAGAGATTTTAAAAAGCGGATGAAAGATTTAGATTTACGAAACCAAACTACACATTTCTACGTTTGTTCATTGCGATAGCTTGTACTCAATTTTTATTACAAATTTTTACGTAAATTTATGTACAGAAATTAGGGGGTGGTGTCACATAAGTATTGATATTTTCTAAAGTATTGTAGTAAACTTAATGTACAAACGTAGTTTTGTAGATGGTATAATGCTAAATGCATGTGGAATGTTTCAGTGCTGTTACACTAAGGGTTCCAAAGCCTTAGCGATTTGAATGTTGAATTTTGAGTAAAAATGCAAAGTTGAGAAAACGTGAAAAGAAAGGCAGAAAAAGGCACTGTGCGTTTCCTCTTATAGCAAACAGAAATTGACTTCTTGTTATGTGTGGAAGAACCATTTGGCTAATAAAATACGCGTTGATTCATGTTGTAAGTTTAAGATAGATTTGTCTGTGTAAGCAGAAAATATGCATACAACAGGTAATAAATTAATGACTGTTAAGTCTTAAACATCCTATCATTCGATTGTTATTCTCAGAACAGCTATCATCAAACCAGATTAAGTTTTGTTTGTTAGTCGGTCTTCTCACGTCAATAGAATGTCTATTGTAGCTTACACAAGTTTATTGCCTTATGATAATAGCCTACTACACAACGCTGGGTACAACGCTTGAGGTTAGACACGCCCCTTCACCCCACCCCACCCCACCGCTGGATAGTGCGTGAAGAACCGATGAGCCATAGATTACCAATGTTCATTCAACCGTGAATAATACGTCTGTGTAGATAGGGTCAAGTACAGGGCCTAAGTGAATGCTTATCAGCTATCCCATCTAGTATTTACATTCGATGCTAGCAAACCCTGTACGGAGAGATGGGCGGGCATACACATTAACACATGTGTCGTATACAGTCCGGTGTAAAGCCTGATGAACGCGTTCAAGCCTATCACAGCATGCCGTAACAAGATTATAAACCGGCCGTTGGTTGAATGGCGAGAAGGGGATGAGGGGGATAAAGGGGATGGACAGTACATTCTTCAAACTGATAGATATGTCCATGACGCATTGTTTCAGCTTAGTATAATAAAGCGTACGAAACAGTGTTTAATAGTGTTCCAGTGACAATCAACAGTACATTTCTAGGCTAAGTTTCAATTATTAAACTTAATGTTGTTCTATAACTTTAAAACAACAAATAAAAGAGTATATGCAAATAAAGTAAACAAACTAAGACAGGCGATTGTTTTGTTTATGTAGAAACAAGATGGCTGCCTAGCACACGTGGTTAGTTGCAACCTATCGCAGATTATTTTGATTTACTGTACTATTGTATGATTGGTCAAACGTATCAATGAATCTCTTCCCATTCATTATTTTTACGCGCATGCCCTTATATGGAGTTTGACATCAAATTTTACATGGTAGAAAACAACGTTTATCCCACTTATTTGTAGAACAAAAGAAAAGGTCACTACACCAGCGGGTACACGAGTGCTTGGCCCTTAGATTGCTGTAAAGTTTATGGTGCCTCGCGGGCAATAAATGATGTAATACTCGCTCGAAGATAGCCGCTGTCCACGTAGTAGTGTGAAAACTTGCCGGGGGGTACCATGTTTCACATGGCAATAAACGGATAACCGTACGGCGTAGAAGTCCGAAATGTTCGGGTTAGATAGACAAAAGGTATTAGTACCGAATTAAAAAATAAAAATTTTGGGGAGCAAAATTATTTTTTTATCGAAAACATGGGTATCTTGTATCCTTAAAGTTGTAATATTTTCATATACTTAGTATGCCAATTGACTAAATATATTATTTCTTTCGAAACAGTAGCAACGTTAGATTTTTTCCTGTACTATCAAGAAAGAAATATTCCAAAGTCCAAACAAAAAAAGTGTTTGTTAACCAAATTTACTTTTATCACTGAGGTAGGCCCCTACTTCTTGAACTCAAACCTACCCGAGGCTGATCTTGTCACCTGTAGTATCAAGGTAGCAGCAAGCATCCAACAAGACACCCCAGGGTAGTGCATGTTCGTGTATGTCTAGGGTCAATCATTTGCTTGGGTGGGTCATCCGGGTCATACGGGTCAGCCAGTCCTAAAAGACATTGTAGATAAATGAAACATGTTCTAAATACACCAAACTGATAAAACTGTTGATGGTTGTATTATTTTTTTAAGCTAACAATAAATACCAGACACCTGTGAATCTATGAGATACCAATCTTATTCAAGTAGAATTTATAATTGATTAGCATGTCTTACATGTTTTTATGTAATACAAATAAATAATTGTATTTATGTAATGCAAAGAAATAATTTTTTATGCAATACAAAGAAATCTGTTATGTATGTAATACAAAAAAATCATGTTATTTATGAAGTGCAAGGAAATATTTTATTTTTGTAATGCGAAGAAATCGTGTTCTTTAAGTAATACAAAGAAATCATGTTTTTTATGTAATGCAAAGAAATCATGTTTTTATGTAATGCAAAGAAATCATGTTTTTATGTATTGCAAAAAAAATAATGTTTTGTGTATTTCAGGAGAACGAGGTATGGGTTAATTTTTATTTTATATTAACCACTCTAAATGTGAAATTTTTTTTTTAAATTGCTTCAAAATATAGATTTTTTTTCAAAAAAAGTTACTAAAAAATTCAATAAAACTTAAAGCATACCTCAGAGGTGGATGTAACTTCTTTATTTGACAATACCACATTGGTTGAAATCTGGCGTAGATTGGATGTTTTTATCTGGCATTTGAATCTGCATTTTTGTTGAGCGTTAGCATCCAACATTTGAATCAAACGTTTTGACTTGCGTCTGTCCGGCAGTTTACGACATTATGCTTGTGTTAAAGATATACTTCCGGGTGCCTTTTCCCACGCCTCAGAATATGAATGAACAGACGGGTGTGTTCACAACATGAGACAAATACTTTGGTCATCTAACTGTGTGTGCGACATGTTCATGCGACATGTCTTGACCTTCTAACATCAGGACAAGTGGAGGTTGATAAGAATATCAGGGACACAAAGAAGGCGTGTTAGCCTGGCTTGATTATGGTTGTTATTTAGTAATTAAATGAAATATGGTTTAAATACAATCATCAAATCTAATACAACATAGAGGTTATATGTCTAATTTTTTAAATGCTTGATTACGAAAATCAATTATTTAATTATTGTGTGAGATCACTATGTGTGGAAGGACATCAAAATTATCAAGTTTGTTGTCGTGTTTGTTTTATAGGGGCTTTAACGTCAGATGAAATAGAGTTTATATGTTTCTTGACTTGGGATATGAAGAGAAGGTGTAGTCAGATTTTTGCCAGCCGTCTTTACTTTCCCTAACATGAGTTAGATACCCATCAGAGTTGGGTGGACTCAGAAACATGAACCTGGATTCGAACTCGAGACTTTCGGGTAAGAAACCTATAGCGCTTAATCGCTTTAAGCTACGCCGCCCCATTGAATGAATTATCTTATATTCAGTTTAGGTTATAACAAACATGTATTATCACATGTTATTTTAAACGCTTAAATATTTTTTTACAACTTTCTATACTACAGTTGACTTGGCTGAACTTGGCTGTTTCTGAAGATTTAAAAAAGAAACATTTTACTAGACTATTTGTTTCCGCTTTTGAGTATAAAATATGTTACGTTATCTCCCTTAGTCATGAGGTCGATACAAGGTCAAGATCTAGTTTAAACGATATGGATTTCCCAACACTCTTGTTGACATTTTTTAACATGTTGAGATATGCCCAAATGTAACGAGACTCGACAGGATGCGAGATGTGGCGAGATGTGACGAGATTTGACGAGATTTGACGACTTTTGACAAGATGTGACGAAATGTAAAGAAGTTTGATAAGATTTGACGCGATTTGATGACCAAACTAAGCAGATACTAACATTTATTGTTTGACTTTGCAAAAAAAAAATTAAATAATTAAAATTCAAAGGTTTATTAAACATAGATTAGATCTATTTGAATTGAGTCTAAAGTGTACTGATTTCTACCGATATTTTATCCCAGAATGATGAAACTGCTGCACAGCACGCAACCGTACAACCATAACACTAGCCAAATGGTTAGCCGGTTAGAGCGTTCACTGATGTAAACATTGCAATCTAAATATAACTTGTGTCAATGTTTACCTTTTATCCAATGAGTGAGCTACAGCTCACACTTAAAACAAGGCGGGAAACTTGTGTTTATCTCTCGATCTTGGCTGATTCAACACACTTCTGTTCACCTTAAAACACAGTGTGATTCACAACTACTTCTTGAATGTGTTGTAGATCTGAATCCAACATTATCAACCATCAAGTTTGTTGTAGGTCCATATTCAACATTATCTGTTATTGAGTTTGTTGTAGAACCCTATCCAATATTAGCAATCATTGAGTTTGGTGTAAGTCCATATCCAATACTATCTATCATTGAGTGTAGGTTCATATCCAAAGTTATCTATTATTGAGTTTGTTGTAGCACCATATGCAACATTATCTACCATTGAGTATTTCGTAGGTCTATATCCAACATTCTTTTGAACATCATAATACATTTGATTGAATTGAAACGAAGATGGCCCTATTTATAACAGCTAACATATCCCTGGTGTTGACTTAGTGTAGTCCCTAGCATGTGTTACACTCCATTCACATGCTGACTATACAGATAATATACTTGACACAGAAACAGATAAAATACTTGACACAGATAAACAATCACCTTTGCTGGACCATGGGATGTGTTTTTGTTTATTGAGTGAATTAATTGTAAGACTACACAGTAGATAGTGTACATTAGTCAATGTGTTGACAATCAGGAACTCTTTATTATGACATGTATGTTAGATAAAATAACGTGTAATTTGAAATGTGGTTATTTAAAAAGGTATAGGTAGTGATTCATAAAGATACATTTAAGATGGACATAAAGAAGAACCACTTTGGATTTAAAATATTTATCCTCGCACGATTACAAAACATCCGGTTTGCTCAGATGAGCTCGAGCAGTCGGAGTGTCCTTGAGTCCACTCAGCTCTTTTGGGTACCTGCCTCTAGTTTGTATGGCATGATAGTTCACCCAGCACTTGCCTCCGAGATAGTAAAGACTATTAGACATGGCGCTGATATACAAATATCACAAGGATCGTCTGGTGTGAAAGGGTGTGGTATGTTTTCCTTTTATTCCCCAATCGTACCTTACTATAACCTAATTAGTCATTTCTTACCGGAAGCGTTTCACTTAAACCAGGGGTCTCCAAACTTTTCAGTCCGAGGGCCGCATTAACTATCAAATTTCAGTTCGGGGGCCAGTTTCTTCCAGACATGTCTTTGATTTTTCTTGGGAAAAGTTCCTCAGCCATCACCAACAAACTTTTTTTCCGTGGACAAAAAGATCGCCGCGGGCCGGATGAGAGGACCTCGCGATCCGGCCCGCGGGCCGTAGTTTGGAGACCCCTGACTTAAACTATTGAGTTTGGGAAGTAATGTCTAGTATTGGTTACCTTATATCAACACCTGGCATAAGTTGTTCATCATCTACTTGTTTGAAGTAAGGACTATACTCTACTGTCCTGCTTAAGTAACGCAGTTTTCATAAGTGAAGATACAGCTTATATAACATCCAATCAAGACAGACAAAATAAAAGACGTAACGTAAAAGGGTAACACAATCACATTTGAATAAATACGTTTATTTCTTGTCTCCCCTGACTCAACAAAGATTGTATTCGCCATAAAACAAAAACACGTTATGGTTCTCAAGATAAATTGGAGAAAATTAGAATTATAGCAAATAATTTGCATTTTTTTAATCGTATGATTTTTTTCCAAGATTTCTGTCTAGTCGTGCCCTCCCCCATTCACCCCCCTACACCCACACACTTTACATCGTGAGTACACTCCAAGTGCGTTATTCCTCTTGGTGTGGCTTATCATCCTTCACCCCCACACCTCGTGACTTCCCATCACGCACGTGCCAACACCCCGCCCCCTCCCTACCTACGACACTCAGCCGGCTCCTCCCACTGTCCCTGGCCGTTGAGCCACAGGTAGCAGGGGGCCGTACAGCCCACCCCCCCCCCTACCTACGACACTCCGCCGGCTCCTCCCACTGGCCTTGGCTGTTGAGCCACAGGTAGCAGGGGGCCGTACAGCGGCTCCCACACTTGGAGGAGCAGCACTTCTGGCTCCCCGGGCAGTCGACATCCTGGTAGCACTGGTAGTCGCAGACCTCAAGACTTCTGCTCAGTGCCAGGGGACAGAACCCGAGCTTCTCTTTCGTCGGCACTGGTGGAGTAAGGGAGAGAATTTTTGTAATACATGGACCATTGTCTATTGGGGAGGGTATTTGAACAGATATATCAACTAGGCAGTCAACATTTACATGTAATCACGGGACAAAACAATAGGACGAATGAACTTAACCACGCGACAAGATATGTGGGTGATCTTGACCACGTAATACGACGGTGAGACATAAACCTTGACCACATGACAAGGCGGCTAGGCACGTGAGTTTGACCATAAAACAATAATGCCAGACTGGTATATTAGACTATGTGAAGTAACAGCTAGACACGTCACCTTGGCAATACAGCCTGACATGACCTTGACCTCGTGACTATGCAGATATATATTTGACATTTACTACATGACAAGGACAGCTAGACATGTGACCTTGACCACGTGACTATCAAGCTAGTCATGTGACCTTGACCATGTGACCTTCAAGTTAGACAAGTGACCTTGACCCCATGAGTATCACGCTAGATGTGTGACCTTGACTACTTGACTATCAAGCTAGACACGTGACCTTGACCACGTGACTCACATCTCCGGTCCGGCGTGCAGGTGGTGCGACATCCCAGCTGACAGCAGAGGTTCCCCGGGCTACAGTCGGTGTCTGAGTTGCAGTGTTTGGCGCAGCTCCCCCCCGGGGAGACGGTCGGGCAGCCTGGCTTGATGGGCGTGGTGGTGGGGAGGGGCCCCAGGTCGTAGAAGCGGGTGTACCATGGATCTGTGGACGGTTGGTGAGAGGAAACAAATAAGTTATAGGCTTAAGTTATATGATTAGGATATAGGCTTAAGTTATATGATTAGGATATAGGCTTAAGTTATATGATTAGGATATAGGCTTAAGTTAACTGCTTAAGTTATATGCTTAAGTTAAATGCTTAAGTTATATGTTTTAATTAAATGCTTAAGTTATAGGCTTAAGTTAAATGCTTAAGTTAAATGCGTAAATTATATGTTTAAGTAAAATGCTTAAGTTATATGTTCAAGTTAAATGCTTAAATTATATGTTTTAGTTAAATGGTCAAGTTAACTGCTTAAATCAAAGTCTTGAGATATAGGCTTAAGTTAAATGCTCAAGTTATAGGATTATGTTTCAGGCTTACGTTAAATGCTAAAGTTATAGGCTTAAGTTAAATTCTTAACTTATAGGCTTAAGTTAAATGCTTAAGTAATAGGCATTTTGGAAAAGAGATAATCTGTACATTTAAAACGAGTACGTGCTGAAGTGTAGCACATGTCATTAAAAAGTGTGACACTTGTCAGAGTGTGCTACATGTAACAGTGTGACACTTGACTGTGTGACATGTGTCACATTTAATTTCCGTATTACACATGCTAAAGTGTGACATATGTCAGTGTTACATATCTCAGAATTTTTCACATACCAGAATATGATACATGTCCGAATGACACATTTCAGTGTGACACTTTTAGAGTGACTCCTGTCATAGTTTGATATATGTCAATTTAGTATACCTCTTGTCAGATGATGGTAAAATTAATAAAAGTTCTAATCATCAAATCAACGACTGTTAGAGTACTCACCCATACAGGTGATGCTTGGTTTACAGTTGTAGGAGCAGAAGGGTTGTAGCTCTACACAGATGTGGACACCTTTACACTTGGGTACCTAGGGAATATGCAAGCATGGTCAAGTAGAGGCAAGCATGGTCAAGTAGAGGCAAGCATGGTCAAGTATGGTCAAGTAGAGGCAAGCTTGGTCAAGTAGAGGCAAGCATGGTAGAGGCAAGCATGGTCAAGTTTAGGCAAGAAAATTCAAGTAGAGGCAAGCAAGGTCAAGTAGAGGCAAGCATGGTCAAGTACAGGCAATTAAGATCAAGTAGAGGCAAGCATGGTCAAGTAGAGGTAAGCAGGTCAAGTAGAGGCAAGTATGGTCAAGTAGAGGCAAGCAGGGTCAAGTAGAGGCAATCATGGTCAAGTAGAGGCAAGCATGGTCAAGTAGAGGCAAGCATGGTCAAGTAGAGGCAAGCAGGGTCAAGTAGAGGCAAGCATGGTCAAGTAGAGGTAATCATGGTCAATAGAGTCAAGTATGGTCAAGTAGAGGCAAGTATGGTCAAGCAGAGGCAAGCATGGTCAAGTAGAGGCAAGCATGGTCAAGTAGAGGCAAGCATGGTCAAGTAGAGGCAAATATGGTCAAGTAGAGGCAAGCAAGGTCAAGTAGAGGCAATCATGGTCAAGTAGAGGCAAGCAGTGTCAAGTAGAGGCAAGCATGTTAAAGTAGAGGCAAGCAGGGTCAAGTAGAGGCAAGCATGGTTAAGTAGAGGCAAGAAAATTCAAGTAGAGGCAAGCAAGGTCAAGTAGAGGCAAGTATGGTCAAGTAGAGGCAAGCATGGTCAAGTAGAGGCAAGTATGGTCAAGTAGAGGCAAGCATGGTTAAGTAGAGGCAAGAAAATTCAAGTAGAGGCAAGCAAGGTCAAGTAGAGGCAAGCAGAGTCAAGTAGAGGCAAACATGGTCAATTAGAGGCAAGCAGGGTCAAGTAGAGGCAAGCATGTATGATTAGAGGAAAGTGTTGTGAATTAGTTTGGTCAACCATTCGTATAACAAAAACAACGTTTATAATAGTCAAATAGAAACCATAATATACTTCCATCGATAGTGGTGAGGAAAATAATTTCAATCTTCTGTTCAGTGCATATTAAAACCTGGTTATTGTATACGTTTTATATATATATATATATATATATATATATATATATATATATATATATATATATATATATATATATATATATATATATATTCCTCACCACTATCGATGGAAGTATATTTTTAAAAAAAATTGCTGTATAGTATGTTGAAAAGGTTTCCACGTTAAAGAATTCCTTGCTTCTATCTATAACCGACGAAATATTAATACTACACTCAATAGAATAGGTTTTAGATACAATAAAACTGCCAATGAAGGGAAATAACTCACACATTTGTTCGAATGCTTGATATACTTAGCTGCTTCCCCTAGTTGTATGAACTGAAAATTAAAAAAAAAATCATTAGCGATTGTATTACACAAACATGGCAATCTGTGTTTTGAGTCATAAATGTTTTCCTTTAGCTCTGGAGTTTAAAGTCATAAATGTACACATTGATCTCTGGAGTTTACCTGCAACAAGAGTCTTTATTATAGTTTTCTTCATTGATTGCAGTAGAATTTTACACCGATGGGTAATTAAATGTTAAAACAAACTCAAAAGTCAAGGATTTTATAGTAACTACAGAAAGGATATGGTGCAAAAGTAATTGTGGTCGTGATTAAATAGTCAATCAAAGTTGCTATTTCAAAGATGATAGGACCAAACATGTTACTGTTTGGTGCTTTAGAATAAACCGAAATGATGCCTTAGAGTGCAACCATTAATTTTAAATTCTCTAATTTTGCAAAATGTATTAATAAACAAAATTATTAAAACTTTTAATTTGAAGAAAAATATTATTTAATTTGAAAATTTGAAAAAGATTAAAATTCTCAAATTATTAATAAATTGCATACCTTTAATTTAAAAAAAAAACACGAATTTCGTCTATGTCACCAATAAAAATAAGATATTTTTCCAAGGAGACTTGTCAGATGCTCAAAACTACAGTGTGAAGTTAGAGTCATGTTGAAACAGCTGTTGTCTAGCCGTCAAATAAAATACGTGCGCAGCTTTAAACACAGCACCAAGTAGCACCGCACTGAACGGAACGAGGTGCAGAGAGCTGCATCAAGTTTCAAGGCAAGTTGTGGCCAAGCCTAGAGTACATGAGTACTTTGTTGCTTTGTTAGATGGATTTGCTTTGATTAGTGTTGGTACTTAAGAGTCTTACGTCACCATGTCTAAATCTGTCGGGCCGATAAAGCTCCCGTCACTCACGTCAAAATACACGCAGGTGAGCTGTGGTTGGGTGTATGAGCTTAGTATTTGATCAATAAATATGAGAGGTTATGCGCATGTATGAGCTTAGTATTTGATCAATACATTTGAGAGGGTATGTGTAAACCCTTCTTAATAATTTTTATCCTCCGTACTGACGTAATCCGATCCCGAATCACGTGATTTGGGCGTGCATATTGACCTCCGACGAACCCCTAAGGTTCGATCGAACCCAGGTTAAGAACCACTGGCTTACATCATTATGAGTTATGAGATTAGCTATGGTGTAAGAGCTTACATCAGTATGAGATGTACGTGGTGGGTGCATGAGCTTAGTATTAGATCAATGAATGTGCGAGGTAAGGACTGGGTGGGTGTAACAGCTCGAGTCAATATGAGATGTTAGGGGTGGTTCGATGTGTAAGCCGACCGTCGGGGAGTATATAGTCTGGGGGTTAATGTCCTAGACTACAGCACCCCTACACAAAAATATTTTTTAATAAACTAAAAGCCCTGACACACTACGTTGTTCCCTAGCTCATACTACGCAAATCTACAACAACACTCTGCGTTGTTCTCTAATTCATACAACCCAAATCTACAACAACAATCTGCGTTGTTTCTTAATTCATACGACCCAAATCTAACACTGACATTCTACGTTGTTCCCTAGTTCATACGACCCAAATCTAACTGACATTCTACGTTGTTCCCTAGTTCATACGACCCAAATCTAACTGACATTCGACGTTGTTCCCTAGTTCATACGACCGTAAATCTAACACTGACATTTTATGTTGTTCCCTAGTTCATACAACACTGACATTCTACGTTGTTCCCTAGTTCATACAACAATGACATTCTACGTTGTTCTCTAGTTCATACAACACTGACATTCTATTTTGTTCCCTAGTTCATACAACAATGACATTCTACGTTGTTCCCTAGTTCATACAACAATGACATTCTACGTTGTTCCCTAGTTCATACAACAATGACATTCTACGTTGTTCCCTAGTTCATACAACAATGACATTCTACGTTGTTCCCTAGTTCATACAACACTGACATTCTACGTTGTTCCCTAGTTCATACAACACTGACATTCTACGTTGTTCCCTAGTTCATACAACACTGACATTCTACGTTGTTCCCTAGTTCATACAACACTGACATTCTACGTTGTTCTCTAGTTCATACAACACTGACATTCTACGTTGTTCCCTAGTTCATACAACACTGACATTCTACGTTGTTCCCTAGTTCATACAACACTGACATTCTACGTTGTTCTCTAGTTCATACAACACTGACATTCTACGTTGTTCTCTAGTTCATACAACACTGACATTCTACGTTGTTCCCTAGTTCATACAACACTGACATTCTACGTTGTTCCCTAGTTCATACAACACTGACATTCTACGTTGTTCCCTAGTTCATACAACACTGACATTCTACGTTGTTCTCTAGTTCATACAACACTGACATTCTACGTTGTTCCCTAGTTCATACAACAATGACATGCTACGTTGTTCTCTAGTTCATACGACCGCGTCAACTAACAGACGATGAGCCGCCCTTGAAGCTGACCATCGTCCACGGCAGACGCCAGTTTAAAATCTGTCTCAAGATCGCCGACAACGAAAATGGCGACCGTATCAGCATGCGACACCTGGCGGAGATGATCAGCTGTGAGACGGGCATCCCGCCCAGAGACCAGAAGTTCTACTACAAGGATGTGTCCTGGCAGAACCCAGACATGGGACCCTGGTCCCCGGCTCTACGGGACCTCGGGATCAAGAACGGGGACAAGTAAGTTTTACCAGAAGGGGGAGTAAGTTAGGTTGACAGGGGGAGTAAGTCAGTTTGACAGGGGGAGTAAGTCAGGTTGACAGGGGGAGTAAGTTAGGTTGACAGGGGGAGTAAGTCAGGTTGACAGGGGGAGTAAGTTAGGTTGACAGGGGGAGTAAGTCAGGTTGACAGGGGGAGTAAGTTAGGTTGACAGGGGGAGTAAGTCAGGTTGACAGGGGGAGTAAGTCAGGTTGACAAGGGGAGTAAGTCAGGTTGACTAGAAAAGTAAATCAGGTTGAAATGGGAATAAGTCAGAGTGACATAGGAAGTACGTTAGGTTCACAGGAGAATTAAGTTGATCAAATACTGAAACTGGTGCAAAATGGGAAGTCATTCTGTTAGGGGAAGTCACCAAGTTTATTGTTGAAAGTAAGTGAGGCTAAAAAGGGGAAATAAGTTCAACAGGGGAAGCAAGTCACTTCAGCATGGGAAGTAAGCAAGTCTAACTGTGCAACTGGGGCAGTCTGACATAGAGAGTGTTTTATAAAATTTCAAGACCAGCTACGGAAATGTCCAAATGGTGTAGAAATTATTTTTTTCGACAGTTAAAATACGAACCGCGAAACCTTTCACGTGATGAAAGTACACTGTCCGTCAGTTGTATACAGCAGGGTTGGGGGGAGGACAGGTGTAGGGTGGAAGGACAAATGCTAAGCTGCATTAGATCAGCATTGTACACAAGTATTTTTATATTTATGCTAGAGCTTAGCAACACGCGGGCACTTTATCTAGAATATGGGACAGCTTTTTAAAATATTTTAGTTTTTAGAAAAAAGAATATCAGACAGCATAAAAAACATCCAATTTTTTTTTTAAACTAAAGTAGGACAAGAGAAATGTTTAACTTAGTTTTATCGCATTTAAAAATATTCGTTCGTAAATAACAGCGAAAAATGTGTTTAAATATATTTTTTAAAACTAAATTCTACACCGTCAGGTTGGAAAAACTTGTGTGGTAAAAAAATTAACACTCTCCTAATTCAAGCAATTAACTCTTAAACAGAAGATTAAAATAACCCGTTTACACGGCAATTTAAGTAAGGGGAGAGCATTCCGTCAAAGTGGGACTGAGAAAAAAGTTAATTTAATTGGCTAGAGACGGTGGGTCACGGAGAACTAGAGCAGAGGCAATCAATAGGCGGGACAGTCTGTGTTTTAATTGGTTTAGACGGGGTAACCGAGTATTGCAGTAACTGCCCTTGGTAGGATGGTAGGTGTCTGGCACCGTAGATGCCAGGGTCAAGGTCTTTATTCGTGACCTGATTGAACGTGTCTGTAGGTTTATTCATCAGTTGCTTCAGTGTGTGTAGGTTTATTCATCACGTGCTTTAATGTGCCTAGCAAAATCTTACCTGTTTCATGGTATTCAGTTACATTTTAACATTTAAAACGAGTCCTGTGAAATCTTACCTGTTTAATGTGACTTGTTATACCTTACCTATTGTAATGTTATCAGCACAATCTTACCTGTTTAATGTCTCTTTTTATACCTTAGTTAGTGTAATGTTATCAGCAAAATCTTACCTGTTTCAATGGGTCAAGTAAAATATTACATGTTTCAATGGGTCAAGTAAAATCTTACTTGTTTCAATGGGTCAAGCAAAATCTTACCTGTTTCAATGGGTCAAGTAAAATCTTACCTGTTTCATGTGCCTTCTCATATCTAATCCATTTCCATGTGACTAGTAAAAAAAAACATCTGGTAGCCTTCCATGCACCGTTCCCCGACTACACCCCCACCCCTTAGACTCACTCCCACCCCCACCCCCGCCTAACTGTCCCTGTACCCTCAGGATCCACCTGGTAGCCTTCCATGCACCGTTCCCCGACTACACCCCCCACCCCCACACCCCACCCCCACCTAACTGCCCGTGTACCCCCAGGATCCACCTGGTAGCCTTCCATGCACCGTTCCCCGACTACACCCCCACCCCCCACCTTACTGCCCGTGTACCCCCAGGATCCACCTAACTGCCCCTATACCCCCAGGATCCACCTGGTAGCCTTCCATGCACCGTTTCCCGACTACACCCCCCACCCCCCACACCCCACCCCCACCTAACTGCCCGTGTACCCCCAGGATCCACCTGGTAGCCTTCCATGCACCGTTCCCCGACTACACCCCCACCCCCCACCTTACTGCCCGTGTACCCCCAGGATCCACCTAACTGCCCCTATACCCCCAGGATCCACCTGGTAGCCTTCCATGCACCGTTTCCCGACTACACCCCCCACCCCCCACACCCCACCCCCACCTAACTGCCCGTGTACCCCCAGGATCCACCTGGTAGCCTTCCATGCACCGTTCCCCGACTACACCCCCACCCCCCACCTTACTGCCCGTGTACCCCCAGGATCCACCTAACTGCCCCTATACCCCCAGGATCCACCTGGTAGCCTTCCATGCACCGTTCCCCGACTACACCCCCCACCCCCCACACCCCACCCCCACCTAACTGCCCGTGTACCCCCAGGATCCACCTGGTAGCCTTCCATGCACCGTTCCCCGACTACACCCCCCACCCCCCACACCCCACCCCCACCTAACTGCCCGTGTACCCCCAGGATCCACCTGGTAGCCTTCCATGCACCGTTCCCCACCCCCCACCTAACTGCCCGTGTACCCCCAGGATCCACCTGGTAGCCTTCCATGCACCGTTTCCCGACTACACAGACCTCAGCACGCTGGATGACACGGAGAAAAAGATTAACGGGCTGGTCAAGGAACTCAGGTGTCTGTTCTACACCCTACACGGCGTGAGTTGGACTTTACTGCTAAACTTAGGGGTTCAACCTAACAGTTTAACTTTACTGCTAAACTGATCGGTTAAACGTAACAGTTTAACTTCACTGCTAAACTCAGTGCTAAACTTATCAGTTCAACCTGTTTAACTATACTGCTAAACTTATCGGTTCAACCTAATAGTTTAACTTTACTGCTAAACTTATTGGTTCAACCTAAAGTTTAACTTCACTGCTAAATTTATCAGTTCAATCTAACAGTTTAACTTTACATCTAAACTCAATAGTTCAACCCAATAGTTCAACCTAACAGTTCAAACTAACAGTTTAACTTAACTGTTATACCTTATAGTTAAACCTGATAGTCAAACCTAGCAACTGTTACACATGAGAGTTTTTAAACAAAATAGTAATTAATTCTAACAGTTGTTAAACCTAACATTTGTTTAACCTAAAAGTTGTTAAACATTACAGTTACACCTTATTAAAGTAAATATTTCGGAGAATCTTAGGTGTTAAAGTGAAGCCTTACAGCTTTTAACTAATTAATTAACCTATCATCTTAACCTTAGACTTAAAGTAATAGTTAGATCGAACACTGAGCTAAACCTAACAGCTTAACAAACTTAAAAACTGTAGCTATTTCCTTACGATATGCTTGTTTAGTGTGTAGTGTGTAGTGTGACTCTTGTGTCCAAATGTTGTTTTCTTGTGTCGTGTGCAGGACTCCTGCCTCTCACCGTGGGTCACCCTGTCGCAGCAAAGTGTGAGACGATAGAGGGAGGTTTAGAGGAAAGCGGAGGGTGGAGCGGGGGGGGGGGACAGACGGACAGACAAGCTGAAGATTAGTGTGTGAAATGTCAATTGAATTAGACTTAGTAATGGAGCATAGTTAAATCACCAGAAATTAGCATTGTGGTGGTGGGGGTGGGCGTGGGGTGGGGGTGGGTGTGGAGGTTAGTCTAGCATGCTCAGCTTTTGTCTGGCTCAGCGGAGCAAGGGTACTCATCTTGGTGAGGGCGCAATAAGTTCTGATGTTTCACTTCCTCATGCTTGACCTCTCATGCCTGCTTATGAAGCATCAACTACTTTATTGAAGCATGGAACAAGCGTATCAACTACTTCATTCCTTCTTTAATCATCTAAACGGTCTGGCTCTTACAGCAAGTATAATGGTAAATGGAGCGGAACGAATGTGTCGAACCGTGAAAAGAAAAAAAATATCACATGTATAGAACGTTTTTCAGACAGTAGGCTCTAAACTTAGCAGATCTATCTAGGAAATAAATTCACACTCGAATAATTGTAAAACGAAAGTATATGGAATTTTACATGGGCTGATAAATGTCAAGTTGACGAATTGGATACTATATGACAGTACATGGTAAATCGCATTAGGACGATGTTATACAGCTGGTGACCTCTTACAGCTGTGGCATTATACGGCTGGTGGCATCATACAACATCTATATATATATATATATATATATATATATATATATATATATATATATATATATATATATATATATATATATATATATATATATATATATATATATATATATATATATCTATATATATAATTCTCTTCTTCGAGCCGTTAGAAAACAAGCTGCAAACGCTCTCCCTACCTCCCCACCCCTACATGGTTTTAGTGAGCTGTGTTCACTCTAAATGTTTACAAGCAGAGCCAACGATTTTAAACGTAAGGGGGGGGGGGGGGGAAGGAGGGGGGAGGGAAGGAAAGGGGGGGGGTTATGGTCCTTAACGAGCTACTTATAGTGTTTTAAAGAAATATTTTCAGTGTCAGCGTTGGTACTGTCGAATTCACAAATTATGAATTATTGAAAATTAGAAACAACTAAATAGCGGCGTATGTTATGCCGCGGGCCGGCTCGTATATATATAATTCTCTTCTTGAAGACGATAGAAAACACCAAGCTACCACACCCACCCTCACATGGTCTGGTGAGCTGTGGTTCACGCTAAATGTTTACAATCGTAGAGCCGGGTTTAGTGACGGCTATTAGGGGCAGAAAATGTAGTTTGAAACGATTTTAAACTTATGGGAGGTAACTAAGAGGAGTTTGCTTTCAAGGGGGGGGGGGGGGGGGTAGGGGTTGGGGGAAAGAAGGGGGGTATTGTCCTTAACGACCATCTGATAGTGTGTTAAAGCAAATATTTTCAGTGTCAGCGTTGGTACTGTCGAATTCACAGATTATGAATTACTGAAAAGTAGAAAATAAAACAACTAAATAGCGCCGTATGATACGCCGCGGGTCGGCTCGTGTGACATAATACAGCTGGTGACGTCATACAGCTGATTACATCATATAGCTGGTGACGTCATACAGCTGATTACATCATATAGCTGGTGACATTGTACAGCTGATTACATCATATAGCTGGTGACGTCATACAAATGGTGACATCACACAGCTGGTGACATCATAGAGCTGTGACATCGTACAGTTGATAGTATCACACTAATGGGGGCATCACACAACTGGTGACACCATGCAGCTGGTAGCAATACACAACTGGTGACACAACGTAGGTGAACCCCAAACCCCCCCTCACCCTCCCGTCTCAACTACGTGTACAGAGGAGGTGAGCTAAAAATAGCTGAACTTGTACAGAATGTATGTCAGTCAGGTGAGCTACCCCTGATCTAAACGAACTATCTGGGGGAAAAAATAATGCCGATAGTAAATGAAAGTATGCGATAAAAACTATTTAAAGCCTTGGGGATTTCCAACAAGAGCATTTGCATTCCTTTTTTATCACGCCCCCTCTCTCTCACTCGACCTGTATTTCTTTTCCGCTCCGGACTCACGTTTTTACATTTACCGAATTTTAAAAAACAACGTTACAATAGCAAGAAAACAATTTTTATGTGCGCCCCTGTTTCGTTATATGCGATGTCAAGGCTGTAAGTGCTCTAAATTGTCGGTGGTGTTGTTTATGTTTGGAAGTCAATTTTTACCTGTATTTACCTGTAGGATGAAAGTGTTGAGTGTGTGTGTGTGTGTGTGTACGGCAGACTTTTTTCTCCCGGGGGCACTTGATATTTTCGGGGGTGGGGGGAGGGGCGGACTAAATTTTCCGGGGGGGAAGGGCGTACACTGGTAAAAATAAGGATTAAGTATTTTCTATATAAATTTTCATCTTGTTCGGGGAAGGTTAGATTTTCTTCAGCGGTGGGGGGGGGGGGGGGGGTAATGCCTCCGAAGAGATGCCTGGAAGAAACACTGATGTAGGGGGGGGTGGGAGCTAATAAGTCTACATAGATGGCACTGTGTTGTTTTTTATCATTTACTTTAAAAGACAAATCAGAAAAGACACCACCGGTTGTGAAATAACATAACGATGCTTTAGAATTAAATTTCAAGTAGGTAATTAATATTTATAACAAATACCCATTTTTTCCGATTGCTATAAAAATCCTGAAGCAAAGTATCATGTGTGAAATTCCTCACGACTCTTCTGGTTAAAAATACTTTTAGCAGACGATTATAGATCCCGTTCACCATTTAAGCTAATTAAGGAAATGGAATAATTAAACAAATATACTGTTACCACAGGCTAATAAATCATTTATCTCTTAAAGCAGGCCGAGAAATGGAGACATAAAATATAATACGTTATTGACTCTCTAGAGAGTACAAACAGAGTGAACACTTTGTGTTAAAGGATTAGATATATATATATATATATATATATATATATATATATATATATATATATATATATATATATATATATATGCGTGTATATTATATGTCCATATTACATCTTTATATCATATCAAAATGTTATGTGTGTATTATTGGTGTATGTACTGAAGTGATGTGATTGTTGTATGTGATGTAGTGTTGATTGTTGTAGGTCCACGAAGGATATAAGGAGGGCAACAACCAGCTGATGGCCTTGAACCGTTTAAAGCAAGGTTTCGAGAAGGTCAAGACTAGTCTGATGTCTGAGATACAGGTATGTGTAGCATGTCACGCTCATGTGATAATAGGGGATGTTGAATGGGTGAATACAGATTATTTTGTGAAGGTATAGTGGATATTGCGTGAATTAATGTTGGATATTAAGTGAAGGAATGTTGGATGTTAGTTAATGAATGATGGATATGGGTGAACACATTTTTACATAGAGTGATTGAATGTTGGATATTGAGTGAATTATGTTGGTAGAACAAATGATTATGGATAAGTGAATTTGTATTATGATTTATTTTCTTCTAGATGAATTAATAAGATCTGTATTATATACATCATTGTGGTAATTCTTTAATAGCCCATTTCTGTTATAGCCCTGTACGGCTTATTTCTGTTATAACGCAGTGGTTCATAGAACATGAACAAAGATCTAACCCCGACTCCCAGAAATCACATCGACACTAGAAATTTCACGTAACGCGGTTACTCTCATTAAGAAAAGATTCACAGACGTAAAATAGAAAGTTTACAGCAAGAATTTTATGAGTTGGCTCGAGGGTCTGTCATGAATTTTATAACCTTCCGCATTAGCGTCTTCCCAACGATATTTTATCTTCGGTATAAACACGGCACCATGTAGTCGTAAACCTAATTAAATCCCCCAAATACACCATCCCAAAATAAACTAATTCTATGAAAGCATGTGTGTTTCTTACTTAGAAATAATTTCTGTCCTTTTGGCTAGATTGGGTAATAACGTACTATAATTAACAATCTATTTGCCATAAAAAACATTTTTTTTCTGGCACGTATGTTGTTTTTTATGCAGATATATTTTAGACTTACCAGATAAAAATACAATATGCTCAAATTATCAGAAAGTGTGCCTTCGGGAAAAAAATTACAGATATTTCGCAATAATTTTCTTCCCTTGCCACAAGCTAGGAAGTAATAATTTAAATAATTTTAGAAATAATCGGAAATTTTGAAGTTTTTTTTTTTTTTTTTTTTTTTTACTGCCTGAAGGTTCTGAATAACCTGCATTTTGACCACCGCAACATGTTCGGTCAGGCCAGGAGACGTCAGATCGTGGACAGCACACAGAGGCAGATCGACAAGTGCACCGATGCCGCCACCGCCATTTTCCACAAACTTGCGCAGGCGCACTACATCGCCAATGTGGGTAGGATCTACCCTCGCGAATACAGGCTCACAGCCTCGGCCAACAGATTTTGCTAAACTTGAAAACATAGTTAGCTTTCAAATGTTTATTTTTGATGCTTAATTTTAGCCATCAATTTTTATTTAAAATACCGCAGTAAAACAGAAAAAAAACACGTTATATTTTATACTTGATTTTACCATTTTGTTTTAGATATTTTAAAAACAAAAATATTTGACACAAAAGAGCGTTCTATTAAAAACATACTCAAAATTGAAATTAGCTTCTTAGCTTATCTTTTTGATGTTTATTTAAATTTCCTAATTATCTTTCTTTCTCTGGTTTTCAAGTAGTTGAATATCTTATTTTTATTTATTGGATTTAAAAATTTAAAATCAGCCAAATCACTAGTGTAGCCTACGCTAGCTCTAAAACTTGTTAGCGTGTTCGCCTTACACAGAAGTTGTATGAAAGAGATTGTATCAATGTAAAGTTAGTCTTAAAGACATTTCTAAAAAAATATTCCTGACGGTTTAGAAAGCCATAGTAAATGTCATTTTTGACACAAGTCTCGTAATGTGATATGGAGGATTCTGGTTTGTTTTACTCGCCATCAATAGCAGCCTCACCAACACAAATGTTCAATTTTATTGATCTTTGTTGACAACTGTTTTTACCACAACGATGAAAGCTGTTTCAGTATTTAGACAGTTGGTAAATAAATGGGTGAATGCATAAGTATAATTCATTCACGACATTACAACCTAGATGTCGATGTAGACTAAACGAAAATGGTGTAGTTAAAATGTTATGATTAACCCTTAATGGGAATGTTAGAATAGTCTTTATGTAAATAACCACCAATGTATTAGTTTCAGTCAATTAAATTTTTTTAAAATATATTTAACAAATTATAGGCAAAATATTACTCTTTACTTTAGTCTTTTAATTATACTTTAATAATAATCTACAAATTATAGCCGTCTTTTCAGTGGCGTCGAGAGGTCGGTTGTCACCCGGTGCGGCACTTAATGGTGTCACCACCAGAGGCCGTAGCGACCCTTCCCGGGGACAAACAAACTTTCAATTTTCGATTTGCACCCCCCCCCTCCCCCAACTTCGAATTTTCGATTTGCACCTCTTAAAAGACTATTTAACACTCGAATTAATCACTTAATTAAGTGGAATTATCATTTCTCTCAATATATTTTGCTATTTTTTGCATGGTGTCACCACACCAAGTAGAAAGTGTAATGTTAAAGAAACTTGATAGTTACCAGACACAGACCGCACCATACCAAGTAGAGACTGCTGGTGGGGTAAATCATCCCGTCCCTCATCAAGTCTTTGATTGCTGCAACTGGAACATAAAGACAAGAAAAGCACTCCATCATCAACTGAAACAAATCCTAATCGTCTAATGCCTTCTTAGATCGGTTAATAGGGAAATACAAGTTTAGTGTAACGTTTATGTGTGTGTGTGGTCTCTAAACATATTCCTTGTTAAAGTCTGACAGCAATTAAAACAATGTTTCTTCCAGAGTTTTTTTTTCTCCGGGGGGGGGGGGGGGGCGGACACTAGTAAAAGTATAATATGATAACTATTTAAATTCCATCTCGTTCGGGGGGGGGGGGAGGGCGGTAGACTGGATGAAACTGAATTAAAAGGTTGAACTAAGAAGGGATTAAATAAACCTTGATTCGATGGATTAATGATTAAGCCATTAGCAAGATTTTCACTGTAAGTTGACGTATTTTTCATTTGTTAGACTAGTTTCACTAGTTTACTCATATAGATTCATACTAGTTACACTTTCACGGATCGTATGTTTCTAGCTTCAAACGAGATAAACATTGACGTGAGTGTATTAGTTTAGTTTCAAACAAGTTACACTGCTGTGGATGTATGATTCTACTTTCAAACTATGTCGTGGGCGGGTGTAGGACAAAAGCCAACATCCAAAAGACCGACAAGACAAAAGGCCGACACGGACATAAGGCCGTCATGGACAAAAGGCCGACATCCAAAAGGCCTATTAGTTGTCGGCCTTATTTCCTGTCGGCCTTTTGTCTTGCCGGCCTTTTGGATGTCGGCGTTTTAGCTGTCGGCCTTATTTCCTGTCGGCGTTATTTCCTGTCGGCCTTTTGTCCGTGTCGGCCTTTTGTCCGTGTCGGCCTTTTGTCCGTGTCGGCCTTTTGTCCGTGTCGGCCTTTTGTCCATGTCGGCATTTTGTCCGGATTCTGTCGTGATTCTAGCTTCAAACTGTTTACACTTTTACGCATGTACCCAGCAGCCATCAAGCAAAACTTTGACGTGGGCGTATGATTCTAGCATGAGACAAGTTACACTACGGCGTGGGCGTATTCACCTAGTTCTAGCCACTAAACTTACATATCCTTTTGACCGTGTTTGTTTTCGTTCATCAAAGCCAGCTTCAAGTGTACGGCCATGTTCCATCATTCATGTCCTGTAAACTTCATTTCATTACATTTTTAACGCGGATTCTTTTAGAAACAAGCAAGTTTTTTTTTTAAGATTTTGTTTTGGAAAAAAAAAATTCCATGTTACCTGTATTCAAAAGACAGGAAATTTTAAGCGAGAGAAAAAATGATGTTTTTTTTCTTGGAATATCAAATAACCTAGCTTGGCTCCGTTGCAATCCAACCAGAGCAAACATCTAGCGTGAGTACTATTGTAGTACTCATCTGGTTACCACGGAAAAACATATGCGCTGAGCATTATTAGTATTAACCAGAAATTAACTACTCAATATTGTGCTAAAAATATTCGTCCTAATTTTTTTTTCTAAATTTTATATTTATGCTTTCCAAAAATGCACTTTTAGAATTTTGTTTTATAAATCACACATAAAAAAACAAAGAATGCAAGATGGTACTTTTTTAAATGTATACCCACTGCAACTTTTATCCCGTCGCGAATAAATTAATTCGAAGTTAACTAGAGCAATTTAAAGATTACCTAAACAAATAAGATGTGTATCATATTAAATGTTTAAATGAAAAAAAAATGTCAATACAAGCGATCAGAAATAAAGTCGTTTTATTTAAAAAAAAAAAAAAAAAAAAAAAAAACTTTCAGTGCCCTTTCAGTTCGGAGTGGTCTTTTTATAACTTGCCACCCATCTTAAACGAATTTAAAACATGACAAGGTTTGAGCCTCGGATTAAGCTCCAATGGAAAGAGCGAGACATACTTTGGATGAGTTTCCATAATTGTGAAGCCATGTCTAAACGATTGCATCCAAGTGGATAATTATACCGAAGCGTCTGTTCACGTGTGGAAACGGAGTTATGCAAGGGACATAACCTTTCTAAAAGTATACCAACGCTGAAGTTCTTTTATTAAAGAAATAAAATTTAAATGATACATTTATTCATTGTTTATTATCAAAAAGTTATTTGATTTCATGTAGTGAATATTAAATTAATGCGGAGGTAGCTAGTATTTAAATTAGTATCTTCAAGTAATTACTGAAATACAAATATTGCACGACATTAAATTGCACGATATGATATGCAATATTTTAAGCCCTATATATATATATATATATATATATATATATATATATATATATATATATATATATATATATATATATATATCCTATATTTGTAAATTTTAAATTTAATATACAAGTTGGCAAATTATAACTCCAAAAAATCTGGCCTACGCTCTAAATGGCGTGAGAAAAGTTTAGAAACAAATGTTGCAATAAGCGTGGGAAGGGGGCGTATTTTACCTATATATATATATATATATATATATAATCTGATAGCCTTTATTATAAGTCGCTTCGTTCGCGTACCTTAGAGTTCAGCAGCCCTTTGTGAGAAAATTGGGAATTTCTTTATCGGGTGATATTATTTGTTTGGAAATTAAGGAGGTTTTTTTTAAACGATCAGTTTTTTTTAGATAAGCGCTATAATAGAAGATTTGGATTGTTTCGATATTTATAGAATAAAGCAAATTGGATTCACATTTAGTCAATTAAAAGATACATAAGATAAAATACGTATCTATATAAATATAAAGAGAATGAATCATATCTTGATATTTTATTGTATAGTGTTTAAAGCGTTAAGAAAAAGATCAAATACGTCTTACCTTACCTAAATATCTTGATTATTTTTTTTTATTGGCAGCCACACATAAATGATGTGCTTTTATAATGTGAGTACTAAATTGTTCTACTCAAACATCTCTAGTCTACATACCACTCTCTAGAAGCTTTGGAAAAAATAGTTTCCAAACTCATGAACGCAAGCTATTTATAGGACTGACCACACATCAACTGACTGTTGATTCGCACCAGAAATAAACCAATCAACAATAAGAATAGAAGCTGGGGAGCGCGCGTGCGCAGACAGCAGACGTATAACTGTCGTCATTAGAGTATCCATGGCTTGTAGTTGTCTGCAGTTTCCGTGAGTTTTTTTTTGGCGACCTGCAGAAAATTTAATGCTCATCGACGATGCTATGAATATTTTTGTAAGGCAGATAACTCTGTTTACCGTGTGTTTTTAAGGATTATGGTTTTTAGTTTACACAAAACAAAATGACACGGGGTTTCACTGTCTTTTGTTTCGTAATCTGCGATGTATCACTAGGGGCGGGTAAGACTCGGGTGGGGCACAACAAGGGGGGGAGGGGGGGGGGGGGTTAAGGCTTGGGTGGTACACCAACAGGGGGGGTAAGGCTTGGGTGGAGCACAACCAGGGGGGTAAGACTTGGGTGGGGCGCCACCAGGGGGGGGGGTAAGACTGGGGCGGGACACATGGCAGAAATGTTGTCAGTGCTCCAGCAAACACCATATCACTTTTATAGCAGCTAGACAGTTATTGGGATGGAATTGATTATAATAATCGTTGTTTCTTTCAAACATTTTTCTCTAGAGGAGGCGGGCACTTGAAACTTCGGGGGAAGGGGGGGTGGAATGCTTAAATTTGCGGGAGATAGAGACATACTGGTTAAAGTTTATAATTTCTAAATACATTATCTATTTTCTTTCAATTTCGTTTTTTGAGCACGGGGGTGGGGGTATTGTTCCCCCCCCCCCCCCAACATTCGTTTATTATGTAGTTTTCTCTATTTATTCTTGACGTCTCAAAGAGCTTTTGTTTTTAATGTTTCCATACTGATTAGTAAAAAAATGGGTATGCTGATAAAAGACGATTTAAATATTTTTTAACCAATTCCTTCTAGAATATTTAATTTAATGAAGCTCTAAATATCATACAGCCAAAAAATAAACTGTCGAACGAAAAGATGGTTAAATATAGTTTCCGTTTAAAGTGTACGTAAATGTGTAATCTGAATTGTATTAGGAAAAAATGTAGGGGGGGGGGGTCGGAATTGGGCAGCAGGTAGTTTGAGTGGGTGTAGTGTATGCTTGTGGGGTGAGGCGAACATTTTATCTGTAACTAACGTACCTGTTGCGCATCACTGTGGTCTAGTTCTACATACCAGAGTGACGACACAGTTATAAGTGTATCACCAGCATGTTACTAATTGTGTTTTTTTAAGTGTGACCCCGTTTTCTAACACTAAGTTATCTCAGTGTAAACAGGGCCGGCGCTTTATTGGATCTGAGCTGTAGAGGTGGGGTTTGTCCACACAACCGCCCATACGCCCAATGGGCGTGCTGTATAAAAACGTTAAGTGTACGTTCATCTTACTCGGTAATAGTCAGGTAGGACACAGCTCAGCGACCAGCCAGATGTAAGGATTGCTGCCCCTGTGATATATATATATATATATATATATATAAGATTTTTAAAAATTCGTTGTAATTTTTTTTTCTTTCTTTATAATCAGTTTTAGATTTAGTTTCAGTGCTACTTAGATGGTAGTGCTGTGTTCCTTGTAAAAAATTAAAAGTCTTAATTAATTGTTATTTTAGGCCTACGTATTTTAAGTGCAGTAGTGAGTTCTAAAGTATTAAGTGACGATTGATTACATTAAAGCATAAGATAAGTTTCATTGTGTTATTTTGACGAAGTAGTTGAAATGATATTCTGTTACGCCTACTTAACTCAGAAAAGTAGAGTTGTTGATAGAGAGGTAGGGAGTGGGGGGTATGTGGCTGGTGACGTAATAAGGGAGAGAGGCGGCAATCTATATGTGCTTTCCTGCTGATTTATGGCGGTCGTACTATTTATAGAACATCTAATGGCTTGTAATTGTAATGTCTAACAACAAAAAATAATAAATACATTTTGATTATGTATTATTTATGTATACTGAATGGGGAGGGGGGGGGGGGATTGGCAGAACTTGATAAAATCATTTTTAGCAGAATGGCTCTGGGTTTATAGTTTTCCTACTTCTTTTGCTTTATTTTATTACATCCTGAATGTATCTGGGTTATACATCATATTATCAGGCCAACTTATGGGAAATGTATTTTAGGAAAGGAGGAATGCAATAAAATCCTACGTACCAGTTACAATCTATGAGCCTATAAGTGGGTGCTCCAATTTCTCGGGAGCCTTATTTTCAAAGGTAAGTTTGTCGGATGCCAATGTGTCTTAATTTTTTTTCCTAACATTTCTTTTATTCGAGTTCCTGTTGTCATTTTACCTTTGAAATTGTTATGACGGGATCTTTTTATCAGGGTCGTTTTGTCGATGGTGCACTTACCGTGATGTAAGCTGAACATCAAGCACCAGCAGTGCCTACATTTCGTGGTTCTCTAAAACTACAGCTGGGTCAAATCTTAATTTCCTGAAAAACTGCGAAGTTTTGTGACGACGAAACCGTGGAAAAAAGACAATTATCTGCCCCTTCTTAACGCCCATGGTCGGCTTTCATGCGTGTAAACAGCTCACTGCGGCAATAATTTGGTTATCTCCCCTTTCGTTATTGAGAACGGTAAATCTTTTATTTACAATATTTCCAAAATAACCCACCGACAAACATACAGATAGACAGCTAAACAGCAATAAACAGTATATAAATAATAGCCTTTAATATTATAAGTTTATTTTAATTGATACAAATATTGTGCGTACTATAATTGTTTTTCAGCATTTTGGCTGAAGCCTCGCCTTATTCGCACATCTTTTTTAATACTTTAAAATGTTATAATAATATTCAGAGACTGTTTTTTTTTTCCTTTTTTAAATGCCGCTGCTTCTGATAGTAAAAAAAGTAACTTCATTAGATTTATTTGTTTAAGTGTTATACCAGCATGCCAACAGTGTTTATAAACACTTTTAAAATGTCATGTCTATAGTCCTTTGGTGTCGTAAATTGTGAAGAACACATGCTGACTGTCTTGATGCATATCAAAGCTTTAAAACGTGTGTGAATGTTAGTTTTTGTACATTCCGTTGTCTACTTTGATCTTGAATGTCTATAGAAGTTCTAGCTCTCTGTACATAAAATTATGTGTGTGTATATGTAGACAAATGATTCTATCAAATTGCACCCTTACATAATTATGTAGTAGGCTTTAAAATGTAATGTAATCACTGCGAATCAATAATTAATTAGTAGCTGCTGCATTACATGTTAATTTTTAATTATTAGAAAAAAAGATTAGAACTTCTAAAGCACAATTGCATTTTTTAAATATTTATAAAGATGAAAAGGTGAAAGATCATAAGACAGTCTCACAAGTTTATAAACATCTATATGTGTGAATCCAAGTATGACGATATTGCTCTTATCTTTCTTTCGTTTTTTTTTTTTTAATTTTTATTTTGACAGGAGCACTGAAGGCCTAAAGCAGTGGTTTTTTAACCTTTTTGAAGTCCGAACCCCACAAGTTTCATACGTGCATTCACTAAACCCTTCTTAATCGTTCGATCGTCCGCACTGATCGTTGCACCTCCAAATCGACCCCCGACAAAACGACCCCGTCAAAAGGGCCCCGACTAATTGGCTCTCGTCAAATGGGCTCCCGTTATACTGACTCGCGACATATAGACTCCCGACAAATGGGCTCCCGACATTTAGGCTAAAGACAAATGGACTCCCGACATTTTAGCTCTCGACAAATAGGCTCAGGACATATTGGCTCCCGACAAAGTGGCTCCCGACATATTGGCTCCCAACAGAAGGGCTCACGACATATTGGCTACCGACAAAAGGGCTCCCGACATATTGGCTTCCGACAAAATGACTCCCGACATATTGGCTCCAGACAAATGAATCGCATTACCACTATTGGCATAAAAGTAATCATTTGTCCTACATCCACTACCACTATAACCTGTTTTAAATGCCTGCATGAAATTGTTTTCCATGAACCAACATCAATTCACAAACAAAGTGAGCCCTTAACAGCTAAATTTCACCAATTCTAAAGTTTTGATAACGTTTAATTTACAACAGAAAAGATATGTTGCTTAAAAGCGAGCACAGAAGTGTAAATGTATGATATAAATGATGTTTACAGGATAACGACATTTTGTTTTGATAACCTACAAGCATACTGCAGGTAGGAATGTACAGCGTGGACCCCTCTTCCCCACACAGAGTTGGAACAGCATATAACCGACTCATTTATGGAAGTCATAGATAGATGGCCCTTAACTTAAAACACACTATTTCTTATACTAAATAAAATAATATAAGGCCTGTCGAACAAGAGATGCATACGTTATATTACTTAAGCGTGTTGGATAAGCTAACTCTAAAAAATATTGATGAAGGGGTCCCACTGGCAGCAGAGTTTCTTCCAGGCATCTCTTCGAAAAAATTTTACCGCCCCCCACCCCCCACCCCCCCGAACGAAATGAAATTTATATAATTTATATAGAAAATATATGCTTTTAACAGTGTCCGCCCCCCCCCCCCCCGAAGAAAGTCTACCGCCCCCCCCCCCCCGAAAATTTCAAGTGCCCCCCCGGAGAAAAAAGTCTGGAAGAAACACTGACTGGCAGGTGTCATATTCAATGAGACTGTTTTGCCAGGAGACTTAGTCTCTACGGAAACCGTATTGTCAGTTGTCATTTTGTCGGGAGCCAAATTGACAATAGCCTATTTGTCGTGAGCCAAAATGACAGGAGCCTATTTGTCGGGAGTCGCAATGACGGGAGCCGTTTTGTGGAAAAACTAAATGACGGGAGCCTATATGTCGGCGTCGAATGATAGAGCTTGCGACAGCTAACATGAAAGACTCAAGTTCAGATTCGAGTGTATAGAACGTCCATGAGTCCACTCAGCTCTGATTGGTACCTGACTCACGTTAAGATATCAAGGAGCTTCCTGAAACAGATAAACTCGAATGCTTTTGTCCCATATGTCTTGGGCATGAAAGCGAAAAAATGATGAAGATTATGCTACAAGGGAAATAAACCGGGAGTGATCTCCCCTAAACTTTCTCGAATATTCTTATATAAAATAACAGGGGATGGGAACTCGGGATATAGTTATGATTTTTAATCTATTTTAAATACATAAACTTTTTAAAATAAAATAGAATCTCATAGAAAAAAGTATTGCACACCAAGCGAACGCCGAATAAAGATGTTCATAATGGTGCGCAATATTATTAGTACTTTATAAATTTAGATGCGTTTTTGAGAAATCGGAAATAGCGTAAATTAGTACTCCCCGTCAACAGAAATTACTCAAAATTTGACAGAATAAATAGAATTAGATCTTTTACTTACTTGTGAAATTTCATTTATCTATCTGAAAGAGTACTCATATTATAGGCTTTTGAAAAATTCAAAGTAGAAAAAGTACCACTTCCGGTTATCGGAAATCGCTCAAAAGTTGATACGGATCTACGATTTTGATAAAATACTTATATATGAAATTTCATCAACCTAGCTGTAACGGTACTCAAGTTATCGTGTTTACACACACACACACAGACACACAGACATACGGACAAGATTGCAAAATTATGTCGATTTTTATCTCGATTTTTTTTTTGCACCATTACAAGACTTTCTCTATACTTCGTATATACGAGAAAGTAAAAAAGGCGGGTAGGCATAGTTCTGACAACACTGCCCCTATTTATGTCACTGAAAAAGGTGGACTCTACTTCACCTGCTCCATGCAAATGTTTGAAATGGCGTACTTTACTCGGATAGTTGGCTGGCGTGGAGATTGAGCTACGACAGATTGAAGCCATGACTTGGAAGATGAAGGCGGTGAAACAGGCTTAAAGCCTGCGCGGCAGAGGCGTTGCAAGGGGTGGGGGGGGGGGTGCGGATCGCACCGGGTGACACCATGGAAAAAAATTGTACAATATATTCAAGAAATATGCATTTTACCAATGCAGTTAATGAATAATTAGAGTAAATTAACCTGCAAAAACTAATTGACTATAGATAAAAATTAATTAATTGTTTTTCAGGTGTGGGGGGGGGGGGCGGGGGTGACACCAACTACAAAATTTACAGAGGAAAAACGCTTTGTTGAGTAGTTTGAATAACTGATAAGTCAATCAACGACCAGAGGGGGAGGTGAAACAAAAATCTAATAATTTACGACGAAAACGATGCTTTTACCACTTGAATCAATAGGTGGATTATGCGCGCAAATTGACGCCATTAGGCAAAATGGGTAGCGGGTGTCACCAATTGCAACTATATATATTATATAAAGGTCTATATATATATATATATATATATATATATATATATATATATATATATATATATATAATATATATATATATATATATAATATATATTTTTATTTTTTTTTTCGGGTGGGGGGCGGGTGACACCATCAGGTGCCGCACTGGGTGATACCCGACCTAGCAACGCCACTGCTGCGTGGGATGTAGAGCCACACGGATTGAAGGATGGATGATGTAGACAGCAGGAGTTGGGATGTCAGACAATTGACATTTACGTTGTGAAGGAAAAACGACTTGGTTTAAGCAAAGCACACAGATCAAACTGTAGGTCGAGATGGTGAAAAAATAATCATGAGGGTAGTTTTTAAAAATTAGGCATTAACATAACTCTAATTTGGCCATAATGAATTTTAGGAAATTGTAGTTTCTGAAAACAAAATTCTTTATTTGCTTGGTTATTTCTTGATTAAAACGCGAAATTATGACTAAAACTCAGCTTCAAACACTACTTTTAAAATGCAAAGGAGTGTCGTCTCACATTTTGAACCCTGCCCTACCCATTGGAGTTTGACGTCATTTATGGACGCTCCCTAAGGGACTATAACCAACCAACTTGTATGCAAAGTTGTTTGTGTCGAAAACAATGCGAAGTTTTTTGTTTTTTTTAATTCTTCATATAACGACGACATGTTGTTTTGAAGATTTCTAACGCCACTCAACGCCTCAAAGGATAAGACGAAATAAGGTCTCAGCTTGCATTCCCTAAGCCCTCCTAGTAGGCCAACCGCAAAGTTTTTTTTTTTTTGTTTTTGGATTCTTTTCAAAACAGAGTTTCTTTCAGGCATATTTTCGTAGAACCTCTACCACCCCCTCCCCTCCTCCTTCCCACCCCACGAACAAATAAAAGTTATATAAAAGTCATAAAAGTATATAGCCTACTTTAACCAGTGTACCCCTCCCCCCCTAAAGTGCCTCTCTCCATCCCCTTGGAGGATCAGTCTGAAAGAAAGTTTCTACATTAACTGGATCAACATGCAGTTTTGGTTATAGGCCTATACCATTTTTAAAATATTTTTTTTTACTATTGACACAAAGTATTAAATACAAATACGAATTAGCCTAACTTTGAACATTCAGTTTAAAAAAGGAGTTCTTGAAATGCAAAAAAAAAATGTGTCGTTACAGTGTCTGATTTCTCTTCCCCCACCCCCCCCCCCCCTTTTTTTTTTTCTTCCTTCGTCACAATAATTCCAAATACGTCCAGAGTTTCTTCCAGGCATCTCTTCGGGGGGGCAAAGCCCCCCCGAAAATTTTTTACCGCCCCCCCCCCCCCCCCCCCCCCCGAACGAAATGAAATTTATATACTTTATATAGAAAATATATACTTTTAACAGTGTCCGCCCCCCCCGAAGAAAGTCTACCGCCCCCCCCCCCCCCCCCCCCGAAAATTTCAAGTGCCCCCCCGGAGAAAAAAGTCTGGAAGAAACACTGAATACGTCTTTCCCCAGGATGTGTGAAGACATTTATCAATGGACATTCCTTAAATTTTATTTCGTACGGTAGCCAAAGACCAATGGCTTACAAATTAAATCGGGAATTACAAATATGATGTTAATTCAAAAGATGATCATAGTATTTTTGGGAAATTCTTATATTACTAGATCTACGACGGATGTTGTTATGACGCCAGTATCATATCATGCCCATCCTATAAGATTGGGATGGGCAGGAAACAGAAACCAGCACAGGAATTAATTTTTAAAACAAAATAAAGCAAAGTGATTAGACGAAAGGTTGAGTGGACATTGGCAGAGACTTATGGCGGTATTAAACAATTGGAAAGTTTACAGTAAAGGTAAATATTAGTTGCATATAATATGGTACATTTTTAACTATTATTAGGTAAGCATTCGAACTAGATCTATATAATAAAGTCTGCTATAAATAATAACTGTATTAAAACCATTTTACTAATTAAAGGACTGTAACTGTAACTAAAATTTCAATTCTCTCAAAGGTCCATCTACTCTAGCCTATTTTGATCTAAAGCATTTTAACTATGCCTATAATTAAGTTCATGGATTTAAATTAAATTGCAGAGCTATAAATAAATGCAAGGTTTTAATGTTATTTTTCCAGACGGGTTGATTTTCCTTTGTTTATTATTATGGAGCTGCAGCCTGCTCGCCCCCTCATTGGCCTCATGCTTACGTCCTGAGCCATGCACAGTAGATGAAAGATTCCAGCCTCTGACTTGTGAATGTGTGCCCTGTCAAAAGGGGTACGTTTTTCTCTTCTCTTTAATTTAACAATACATTTAAATAGTCAGCTAGTTTTTATGCCATGGTACAGCGCACTATTCCTTTATGTGCTTAATTACTTCATAGACTCACGTATATATATATATATATATATATATATATATATATATATATATATATATATATATATATATATATATATATATATATATAAATATATATAAATATATATATATATATATATATATATATATATATATATATATATATATATATATATATATATATATTATATAATATATATATATATATATATATTATATAATATATATATATATATATATATATATATATATATCAGCAGCGTAGCGAGGGGGGGGGGGCGGGGGGACATATGTCCCCTGGCGCCGACCTTAGGGGGCGCCAAAATGGGTTGGAAAAATAAATTGAAAGATTGATGGGGGTGCAAATCGAAAGTTTGAGGGGGGGGGGTGCAAATCCAAAATTTGTCCCCGGGCGCGGGGAAGGGTTGCTACGCCTCTGATATATATATATATATATATATATATATATATATATATATATATATATATATATATATATATATATACATGCAGTGATACTTCGACAATCAAGTTTTCCCCACACACGCAGCTCTGATGGGTACCTAACACACATTAGGGAAAAATAAAGGCAGCTGGGCATAGTGCTGACCCACTATTCCTTAATATGCCCTGGTCACTGAAACAGATGAACTCTACTTTATCTCACCCTTGTGTCGAGGGTATGAACGGGAAAAGATGATGATTGGTCCAATTTGATATAAACCATTTTATATATCACTATTTTCTATATCCATATATAACAGTTACGTTCAACCAAGTGAATTACACCGGAATGAATTTTGTATTCCATCACAAACTAGAGGTATTGTATTTATTGAATTTTCAGAGTTAAACATTTATTATCATTGTTATGCAAGTTACACTTTTCAAATATTAACTCAGTTTCTATCTGCTGATACATCAGCCACTCGATATTATTTAATTTAGCTACTTTTAAAACATTAATATTTTTGTTTAGATGCAGAACTAAACTCCGGGAACATTTTAAAAATTTGTAAGTATATATTTTTTTTCTTTTTTCTTTAAAAAATTGATTGATTAATATTTCATTATATAAAACAAAAGTAGAATGTTATGAAGCATATTTTTAATGATTCCACCATAACTGAAGCAACGAATTATGTTTACCATTAGCCAATTAAAATTTCTAGTAATCATTAATTTTTTTAAATAGCATGATATTTAAAATCTAAGGTCTATCCCCAAATAGTACAATCATCTCATGGGTAGCTTGAAGTGATTTTACATGATTTTTCCAGGGTTTACATCTTTCTCTAGGATGATGCCATTTGTGATCTCAGTCTTACACCTTTTCTCAGGTTTGTTGATATTTAAGAAAATCCCTGTAAACATTTTAAAAATACAGTTCTTGTTGTTGCTTAACTGACCATGTATAGTAAAAAAAACAACCTTGAAAAATTACTAAAAACTACACAATGGGTGTGAAATAGTTTGCATGGTAAAAAAAAAACCCACTTTATAACAACCTAGCCCATTCTCTTCTAACCTTATTAATAATAATAAATATAAACGAATTGATTTTATGTTTGTGGTGAGAAAAAAGTGGCAACCATGTCTAACCCAAAAGTTTAGGTGACATAGCTTTTAGACTAAAATTTAGTGATGACGTGGTCGGATGTAGTGCTTACGACCACTAACCCAAATATCTTGGGTTTGAGTCTTGAGCTTGATTTCGTGGAATGACCCTGAGTTCACTCAGTTCTGATGTTAGGGAAAGTAAAGCTAGCTGGGAATAGTGCTGATCACATTGTTTCATATGCCTAGATCACAGAAACAGGTGAAGTATTCTTCATCTGCCACATAGGCCTATCAAATTGAGATAGGTAATTTATAGTTTATTTTAAAAAATGGTCTTGCCATTATTCAACTTATTTGTCAACACAATGATCAATCTTGTCTTACAGGGCTATACTAATGTGTTCTACTGTATACAAATTTGTGTCCACTCAAAGATCAAGCTGTAGCCAATTTTGTATACAGACAATAAAACTAACTTCATTACATTTTTAAATGATTCTAATTAGTTTTCATATTGTCTGTACAAATTTAATAGCTTTTTTAAAATTCTATAAAAATCAGCCTTTTATACATTGAATTTTAAGTATGCTGCCTGCATATTTATTACTGCAATTTTTTTTTAAAGGAAAAACTATGCATAGTACTAAGTACTAGATGCCAGTAATTTATAACCTGTTTAATTAATGCTATTAAATATTAATATATTTGCATTTCATGAAGTCAATTTATTTTTTATCTCAAATGTACTTTTTGTTTGTTATGTTGCTTTTTTAACTATAAAAATAATGCATTTCAAAAAGAATAATTAAGACATTTCACATGCGTTTAAATGGTTTGCATTTAGAAAACTTGTTACCTTTAATGGATTTTAAAATAACATGTTTATGTTCTGTTTCAAATTTTAGTACAGGCCATATAAATCAAAGAAGCCACTAAATAAATGGCACTCTGATGTAATTAAATTTGAATTATTTTCGAGCATTTTGCAAGAGACAGTATACAGTTGTTTTTTTTTATTCAAAATTTGCATTTAACATATCTAGGCCTTGATTTTTAAAAAATATTTCAATGATTTAAATGCATTTACATTGAAAGTTATGTTTCATTGAGAAAAACAAAATTGATCTTGTTAAAGTTGTTTTATAACGGATTGTTTAACTTTACAAATGTTCAATCCAGTGAGAATTTATTATGTACTTATTGTGCATAATAGAGACTGTGAATTTTCTAATATTTCTAATTTTTACTCAATTATGACGGACATGGAATCTCTTGTTATGAGTTCAGTCAATTTTTCAAAAATTATTTTTTAATTATTTTTGTAAATAAAATAAAATCTTTTAATATATTTTATTTTTTATAAAAATAAAACCAGCATTACAAATTGTTAACCATTCATTCTGTTTTCATCTGACTTATAAAAGTTGTATTGGAATGAAGTGATTAAAAGTTTTCTTGCAGCAGAAAAAATGTGTTCAGCTTAGTTGCTTAAATCAGGAAGATAATAAAGTATGAGGAATGATTATTTTAGGCTGGTACCAACTTCATATAGATGCATGTTTTTACACTCATAAATTAAAATAAAGTCTGAGAAATAACTGATATAGATGATAAAACTATTTAGTTTTAATCTGCTTGGGAAGAGTAATGTTTTGAAAATGTAATATTTGACCAGTAATATTTTACTGCCTCAGTTGGTCAACAGAGGAATCTGGTGTGCCTCATTTGTTGGTGTATAACTACAGTTATTAAAAAGAATACATAAAGTAAGCATTGTGTTTTTTTTTAATTTATACAGAAATTGTGTTAATAAAAATATTCAGTTATTAGCAAAGTAAATGGTGTGATCCATATTAGAAATCAGGGGAGGTAATAAGTCACCAAATGTCAAGTCAATATAATAAAAACATTTTATTCTTATTAATAAAAACAATACTGAGTTTCAGCTAAAAAATTAATAGCATGTAAAAATATTTTATAATGTTACAGATAGAAAAATACTGTATTTACAAAAAGTGATTCATTGAATTGATATTTTTAAAAACAAAGGACTCTCATCCACTGGGAAAGAGATCGCCAGCTAATGAAACTGTCGATGAATGTATGGACTATTAATGTTTATTACAATCAGAAAATAGAATGTGAACTGTCAAATAAAAACTTCCCTGCTTACAGTCTACTATGCTGCCACTGAAGGTAAATGTCCTTGGACCTGTCAAACAGAACCAACACACCTGCGCCAGCTAACTTCCCTGCTTACAGTCTACTATGCTGCCACTGAAGGTAAATGTCTTTGGACCTGTCAAACAGAACCAACACACCTGCGCCAGCTATGTTGCGGATGATGTTGGCGCCAGCACCTTTCATAAAAGACATTGCCCCCTCCTGTTTGTATATCTGAGAAGCGCAGTCCAAAGCGTTACGGTACTGCACTTTCTCACATGACCTCAGCATCATCCTGCGTCTTATTGTATCCAGCGGATAAGCCAGAAGGTTTGCCGTTACTGTAACACTGTATCCGAGAGCAAAAGACACTAAAATCCCAGAATTTTCCGTCAGCAGAACTGGCTTTAAACTATCATAAAGTCCAAAATAGAAACCTCGGTACACCATGATTGAAACTATGGATACACTAAACCCTCTGTACAAACCAGCTATACCATCGGCTGCCCAAGTCTTTTTGTACACATCAATCACTCCTGTGAACTGTCTATCAGACTTGCCAATGCCAGAGAATTTGGCATCCATGGCCAGCCTGGTTCTGGCATAATCCAAAGAATAAACAAAGCAATTGGACAAGGCGCCTGCTGTGCTGCCACTAAAAATGTTCTTAGCCAGCTTCCTGGCATGGGATTCACCGGGGGATGAGTGGAAGGCTCCTTTGATGTGATCTTTGAAGGCAAAGTTTAAAGCTTGAGTTGGGAAATACCTGGAAATTTAAAAAATAATCATTTTAATGCACAAGCAAATGAGGGCAAATGAGTAAGATCTACAGTCCACTACTAGCGCTAAATTTGAAACATTACATAAATATACTACAATTACAATATGAATAGCAGAAAAAACAAGTTAATAAATAGTCTAGTGACAATTTAAGCGCAATTTCCTTAATTAATTTTTTGTGACCGAACGAAAGGATATTTTTGGATAATTTCTTCGGCAATATTGTTCAAAATTATGGCAGGAATTGATTGGTAAATGTTTCAAGTTGCTAAGTGGTCTGGTTGCCGAGATATGGGCCAAAAACTGCATTTTTTCTAGGTTTTTTGGCTTTTCCGGGAAATCCAGGAAGGAATTCCGGGAATTTTTTTGGCCCACAGCCACAATCATCCTCGGAACTTGCTTAACATATTTGCTTTTGGAACTAGTCCTCGATATTGCTTCATTGAGGAGGAGATACGACTTAAAGCTGCGGACACACATCGGACACACATCCATCCAGAACGAGTTAATAATCGCAATTCCTGTAAGGAAATTGCACTAAAAATAATTGACTATCACAAGGTAAAAAATGCATTTTTTAATAAAACAACAAAATTCAAAGATAATTATAGACAAGTAAAAATAATTAACACAAGAATGATACGAATGTAAAATCATGTACAAAATTTTTACATGACCTGTAGAATTATCCAGTAAATAATGTACACCGTTTTCATATGACCTGTTGAACTAGCCTGTTAAAAATTAAAATCTGTAGTACTAACCTGACACAATTGATAAAATTGCTTCTCCAGAATGATAGGATACCCTCTGACTTGAATGTTGTAATGGCACAATCAATGATACCATTATAAGACTTACTAAGTCTGCCGAGTTTAATTAGCTCATCTTGATTCTGCAATAATTAAATTAAATAGAGTAAAATTATGTTAATAAATTTTTTCTTTATAAAAAAAATGTAAAAGCATGATTCATTTGAAATGTGAAATATTTATAAACAAAATATTGTGTTTACAAGACTAATGCTAGTTGTGAATATTGAGGAGGAGGTATGAATTTAATATTCTAACAATTTTACCTGAATTGGCCCTAATTATGATTTCTATTACATATCTAAATTTAAATTACCTGTATCAGAAGTTTCACCCGTTCAAGTGGGGCTATAGAGGTTTTTGAAATGACAGCAGCAGAGCCAGAAAGAATAAAATTCTCAATAAAAACTAACTTTTTTCTTTTTTCTGCCATCTGAAAATAATAAATAATCATAAATGCATTTGATCCATCAACATAAATTACTACAAGATGTGAAATAACAAATCAATTTAGACTTTAGAAGTGTTAATGCACCTTAAAATACAAATTTAAAATATTTTCGCAAACTCATGAAAATCTATTAAAAATTTTGGTGTCATCACTTCAATTAAATAGGATGATTTATTTTAAGGCAACTAAATTTGCAAATTCTACATTTGTTGAAGAAAAGTTGTGGGGGGGAGGGTGTTCTTATATGCAGCAAATATAGTAAGTCAACCAAAAGTATGGGATTATGGATACCGGTGTCTGATAATACACTCTTCCATAAAATAGGTATGTTGGGTTGTTAGTAGTATTGAAATTTCTACTGATTTTATGGTTAGAAATTAGGCGTATGAGTATGGTAGGACCAGGGTTGGGGTTAGGAACAGGGTTAGCATTGACATTAGCCAGCCACGTATCTAGTTAGTTAAGTTAGCTACCAGTAACCTAACACTCCTTTTTTAAAGAAGATTCCATTATTGGACACAGGTATAAACATCCTCCCAAAGTATGTTCTATTTTAAAATAAGATAAGGTCATAAATAAACTTAAGACAGGTAAGACCACTCGCCTGAGGAAACAACCGAGTGGTAGTGGCAATTTTCTCAGACCACGACCCCCCCCCCCCCCTTAAAATTTACAGATTATGCTCTTAAAACAATTCCTTCTAAAATATTTTTCCGAGTTTGGTGAACATTGACTTGAGTTTATTAATTTCTATTGAAATTCATAAAAACAGTCTTTATCAAATGCAAAATTTTAATAATGGCTAAAATTCAGATTCTAGCATTAGTCCTAAAGCCCCTCCATTACGGAGTATGTTGTCATTACCCCGATCCCCAATCTGTAGGCCTAAATAAAATAGTTATAAGTACTAGATCTAGTAAGAAACCTAACAACCCTTTTTAAGGAGATTCTATTATCAATTATCAGACACTGGTATAAAATATCCCCCTGATTGAATATTACCGTAGTGCATGTAGTAATTCACCTACACTGTCCTACACTAGTACACTTGACTAAACACTAGCCTAACACTATCACTACTATGAGTATCAAAGTATATAAAGTTTGCCTTTGTTACATATTTATTAAGATATAAAAATAAATCACAGAAAAAATAGATCTAGAATCTAGATCTAGATCAGTAGATCTAGATTTCTAGATCTTAATCTAGCTTTAGATCTAATCTAATCATCTAATGTCACTAATGAAATCTCAAGTTTCTAGCAATGTCACATCACACACTTTAAATAGATCTAGATCTAGTAAAGACCTTTAGAATAATAATTAGATCTAGATCTATATTCAATCTATAGTATTCTATACTCTATACTAGAGTCAGACTATACTAGTACTAGGCTTACCTCGATTTCTAGTACAACCTTGACAAATGCAATTGAACCTTGGACTTCAACAGTTACATCACTCCAAAGAAGTATTTAATTTATTAATATAAAGCTATGTTCACTAGTGAAAAAGGTATGGTAACGCGTGTGGCGTGCCGCTCAGCTTCTTGGTACTTCAAAAATGATTTAACTATTTTATTTTGTTGTCAAACACGAATGTAAAACTTAACACAATTTTTAAAAATAATAGCGAGAAGAATTGCACGCTTTTTCCAATCTTTTCCCCAGATACTTTTTAAAAAATTAATAAATTAAAATTTGTTACTGGCTGACGGAGACAAAACAAAACAATCACTAAAGAAGGAGAAACGATCATTAGGTGTATCACCGATCTAGTTTCACAGTCGCTTATAATTCGTTTCCTTAGTATAGTTGCTTAGTAGTTCTAGATTCTTGATGTCTATTTCAGTTTTTTTTGCTACGCAATAACAGTGGGCTTCCCGGCCGATGGCTCAACATTTGGCAATTTCCTGAAATGCATAAGCCTAATCTAAATAAAGTATTTTCACTTAGGATGGGGAAGGGGTGATAACCATATGTTACGTCACAAATTCACAATTCTTATTTAAAAAGAAGCTGTAGTGTCACATGGGGGGGGGGGATCTGACTTCCTGTGCTGATGGAGGAGAGGGATAGCTTACAACATTTCGGCCCATTAAAAAAACGTAATCATTTAATATTTTATCAATATCGTTTTGAAATGGCGATCGATCAACTCGGAGTTCAGCCAGAATGAACTATGGATATTTTTTTTTAGATGTAGGTCCATTTTTTAATTAAATTATTAAATTTTTTAGATGTAGGGCCATTTTTTTAAAATTGAATTATTTAATGGCATAATGGGGTGGTTAAGTAGTCTTTTTTGTTTTGTTTTTTTTTCGATCCCGTTAAAAATACGAATCTGAATGGATGGAACCCCGCCCCTCTGGCAAGGTGAAGTCAGGTGGTGGCTGAGCTGTGATTGTTGTATGCGTGCAGAGTTTCTTCCAGGCATCTTTTCGGGGGGGGGGGGGGGGAGGGGGGGCTCCGAGAAAGTCTACCCCCCCCCCCCCGAACAAAATGAAATTGATATAGAAAATATATACTTTTAACAGTGTCCCCTAAAAAAAGTCTACCGCCCCACCGAAAATTTCAAGTGCCCCCCGGAGAAAAAAGTCTGTAAGAAACACTGTGTGCGTGTGTTAGGGGGTGGAGTGGGGGATGATTAGGCGGGGTCGAGTTAAGTTAATTGAATTTTTTCTTGTAGTAATGAAGTCGTTTTCGCCTAATGTAACATGGTAGGTCTGTAAGTCTTTCTCATGCTGATTGTCGGATATAACAAAACAAAATCGCGTTATACTCTTGTTTGATAGTCTGTCCACTCCACCAGTGCATCCCCTGCACAGTTGCATCAAATGGTCAGCAAATCAGCTGATTGAATGGAACTTAAGTGTTCTCGTCGCTTAGTGATCGATGTACTTGGATCATTCGTAATGAATGTCTTTCGTTCAACACAATGTCAGGTTATCGTGTGCAACGTGAGTGTGTCAAAAAATGGATCTAACATGCAGAGCTTGTAGTTGTATAGGCATTTATATCGTATTTTGAAATGTTAAATAACCTAATATTTACCCTATGTTATGTAATGTTGTATGTCTAGAAAGGTTTGTTAAAATAAAAGTAACATGTTTGACATAAGTTTACCATTCATTTTATTATTAATTTATAGTTTTATGATAGTTTCTAAATATTTTGACAAAAAAAATAGAATTTTTAAATAGTATTTTTTAATAATAGAGAACAGTGAAGTTGGCTTTAAAATATAATCCGCGTGCGATTGTCTAAAAACTGGAGGCTTGAAGATGTTTTGACTGCAACGTTTGGCGAGGGTTCGAGTCCCGCCCAGACCAAGTAGAGATTGAGGACTCGTCTGTTGCAAATAAAAGACAGGAAGATGAAGACGCCCTGTAGACCGTTGAGAACAATCGAGAAAAGTCTGGAACAAAAAACACAAAGTTGCAATTATTTAATTATTGCTGCATTAAAATGTACATGTCGGAGAGTATTGGAAGGTTTGATTGTATATCAGTTGTCACCCGTCTCTACCAACACTACTCACATTAAAACCGCCTCTACCAACACTACCCACCTTAAAATCGCCACTACCAACACTACCCACATCGCCTCTACCAACACTACCACCTTAAAACCGCCTCTACCAACACTACCCACATCGCCCCTACCAACACTACCCACCTTAAAACCGCCTCTACCAACACTACCCACCTTAAAACCGCCTCTACCACCACTACCCACCTTAAAACCGCCTCTACCACCACTACCCACCTTAAAACCGCCTCTACCACCATTACCCACCTTAAAACCGCCTCTACCACTACTACCCACCTTAAAATAGTCACGTCCGCCGCCTCTGCTATGATGGCGAGGGTCCAGAAAGCGCCGGTCAGGGAGGAAAGTTTGACGTAGACCCCCAGGTTCCTGTGGTCGTCAAGTCTGGAACTGTCGTAGACCTGGAGCTTGCCCACTCGGTAGATCTTCACTACGGTGATGGTAAACAACGTCAGGTTGGTCAGGTTAATTAGTGCCATTGGCATGACAAGTGACACACCTAAAACAGACAGGTAATTAGTGCCATTGGCATGACAAGTGACACACCTGAAACAGGTAATTAGTGCCATGGGCATGACAAGTGACACATCTGAAACAGACATGTAATTAGTGCAATGGGCTTGACAAGTGACACACCTGAAACAGGTAATTAGTGACATGACAAGTGACACCCCTGTAACAACATGACAAGTGACACCTGAAAAAGTAATTAGTGACACACCTGAAAGGTAATTAGTGACATGGTCATGACTAGCAAAACACCTGAATCAGTTATATTAGCGTGAACGATTATTAAGCCTGATATAATTAATATAAAACATGATGCTTAATATCGAACAAAAATAAACTAAACTTCTTATCTTTTACTGACCAATCAGGAATGTCGAATTCAAATAGCAGACGGTAACGCCATAGCCAATGGTGGAGCCTCGCGTTGAGACGAGTGATGACGTCACGACAGCGGCAGAGATTGTGGCGGGAACAAGTAGGGTGGTGAGGCCCTGTCTGATGTAATGGAGCGTCTGGTCCCCCAGGGTCAGGCCGGAGCTTCTGGTCTTGGAAGTAAAGACACGGAACATCTGGAGGCTACAGGTGAAGGTCCAGGTGATCATCCACAGCCACAAGAAGTGGGTCAGGACGCCACATGTTGTACACGTAGAGCTGGGGCCTGACCTGTGTACGAATGGTTCAAAGGTTACGTCAGGTGGGCCAAGGTTAGTGGGCCAAGGTTACGTCAGGTGGGCCAAGGTTACGTCAGGTGGGCCAAGGTTATGTCAGGTGGGCCAACGTTACGTCAGGTGGGCCAATGTTACGTCAGGTGGGCCAATGTTACGTCAGGTGGGCCAAGTTTACGTCAGGTGGGCCAAGGCTACGTCAGGTGGGCCAAGGTTACGTCAGGTGGGCCAAGGTTACGTCAGGTGGGCCAGGGTTAGTGGGCCAAGGTTACGTCAGGTGGGCCAAGGTTACGTCAGGAGGGCCAGGGTTAGGGGGCCAAGGTTACGTCAGGTGGGCCAAGGTTACGTCAGGTGGGCCAGGGTTACGTCAGGTGGGCCAACGTTAGTGGGCCAAGGTTACATCAGGTGGGCCAGAGTTAGTGGGCCAAGGTTACGTCAGGTGGGCTAGGAACTTTTGCAAATTATTAAATTAAAAATCAGAAATCTGAAGTTTATCACCAAACAGATAAAAAAAAAAAATCAAACAGATCTAGAATAGCTGTCTTTGTTTTTCTGTGGTACTAGAGCAGTTTGTATGGTGACTCTCGTACCCTATATACATCATATAACTTTATATAGATAATTATTAACTTGAAAATATTGTTGCATGTGTTAGTCTTTATAGTTATTATTTCAAGCACGATATACCAAACCGGGATTCGAGCTCGATGCTATTAGTAGGCCAACCGTACGACCGCCTATATGTGTATGTGTATGTGTTATGCAGAAAAAAGTATATCTTTCGTAACATTGCGAGATTATTTTTTTTGCGAAACAAATATTGAAAGAATCTTCAAAGCTACGAAAATATATTTTTTCTTAAACAAGAAAAAAAAAAAAGATTTTAAAAAAATAAAAATAACCAATGATCCAAGGTCCTTTGGAAAGGTAGAAATAGTTTGTAGCTTAAAAATCCACCTGCCCAGCCTAAGCAGATGTACATACCACCAACACATGTACAAGCGCGCGCTTGCATGTGAAGATGCACACACACCTGCACAAGCAGATGTACATACCACCAACACATGTACAAGCGCGCGCTTGCATGTGAAGATGCACACACACCTGCACAAGCAGATGTACATACCACCAACACATGTACAAGCGCGCGCTTGCATTTGAAGATGCACATACACCTGCATAAGCAGATGTACATACCACCAACACATGTACAAGCGCGCGCTTGCATGTGAAGATGCACACACACCTGCACAAGCAGATGTACATACCACCAACACATGTACAAGCGCGCGCTTGCATGTGAAGATGCACGTACACCTGCACAAGCAGATGTACATACCACCAACACATGTACAAGCGCGCGCTTGCATTTGAAGATGCACATACACCTGCATAAGCAGATGTACATACCACCAACACATGTACAAGCGCGCGCTTGCATGTGAAGATGCACACACACCTGCACAAGCAGATGTACATACCACCAACACATGTACAAGCGCGCGCTTGCATGTGAAGATGCACGTACACCTGCACAAGCAGATGTACATACCACCAACACATGTACAAGCGCGCGCTTGCATTTGAAGATGCACATACACCTGCATAAGCAGATGTACATACCACCAACACATGTACAAGCGCGCGCTTGCATGTGAAGATGCACACACACCTGCACAAGCAGATGTACATACCACCAACACATGTACAAGCGCGCGCTTGCATGTGAAGATGCACATACACCTGCATAAGCAGGCGGTGATGGAAACCTTGTAAGATGTGAACCCTGACTTTAGTAGCGCGGTCCACGTAGAGCCGCCGCTGAATCTGTGAAATTCAGTCTGAAGATTTCGTCAGGGATTTGGCGCGGAAAACATTTATGCATTGTGCGCGGACGTTAGAGAAAGCAACACTAGAAGTTCAAATCAGCTAAAAAAGTTTTATCTTTACCTGGCACTCAAGTACTTGGTATAAAAACAATAAAATAGGGGAATCAGCTGGTTTTAGTTTATTCTATGATATAACTTTTTTAAAAAAGTGTATTAATAAAAGCATTATTATGGAAGAAATGGTAGTGCAAATCAGAAAAAAATATTTCGAAAATGTAAAATATTACTGCGCAAAAAGAAATATTGAAATACTACATTTAAAAACAATCTATAATAATAGTTTCGCTGTCTGTCTATCTATCTATCTATCTATCTATCTATCTATCTATCTATCTATCTGTCTGACAAGAACGCTCTAGAGAAAACACAAGGAAAATAAAAACATGCATAGTAATTCGAAAAACGAAGTATGACGTCGACACATTTAGCGCACAGAGTAGAAAATAATCTCAAGCCGGATAGTGCACACATTGATATGACGTCATTGTTTCTCGCGTAAACTTTGAAAAAAAGGAAATTTTGTCTAATCTAAATGGTTTGCGTGAAGAGTTTCTTGCATACAATTCTTCGGGTAGGGGCGAAGCCCCACCCCACGCGTAAGAACGTCTGAGCCCCCCCCCCCCCAATTAATGTGTCTAATCTAAAAAGTGGTTTTCTTGCAATTTCTTTAATGCAATTCTTCGGGTAGTGGCTAAGCGCGACACCAGTGTTTCTTTCAGACTTTTTCCTCCCCGGAGAGGGGTGGGGGTACTTGAAATTTTGGGGGGCGGGGGTAGAATTTTCGGGGAGGGGGCGGACACTGGAAAAAGTATATAATTATATTTCGTTGAATGGGACGGTAGACATGTTTTTTTGGGGGGTGGGGGTGGGGGTGGGTGGGTGGGGGTGGGGGTGGGGTGTGTGGGGTGGGTGGGGTTGGGGGTTGGGGGTAGGTGTGTGTGGGGGATGGGTTGGTTTTAGTTTAGAGAAAAGAGACAGCACTATCAACCTAGCGCCCGGTGTATCCTTCCTCAACGGGCCATTTTTCTCGTCTATAATAATAGTTTCGCTGTCTGTCTATCTATCTATCTATCTATCTATCTATCTATCTGTCTGACAAGAACGCTCTAGAGAAAACACAAGGAAAATAAAAACATGCATAGTAATTCGAAAAACGAAGTATGACGTCGACACATTTAGCGCACAGAGTAGAAAATAATCTCAAGCCGGATAGTGCACACATTGATATGACGTCATTGTTTCTCGCGTAAACTTTGAAAAAAAGGAAATTTTGTCTAATCTAAATGGTTTGCGTGAAGAGTTTCTTGCATACAATTCTTCGGGTAGGGGCGAAGCCCCACCCCACGCGTAAGAACGTCTGAGCCCCCCCCCCCCAATTAATGTGTCTAATCTAAAAAGTGGTTTTCTTGCAATTTCTTTAATGCAATTCTTCGGGTAGTGGCTAAGCGCGACACCAGTGTTTCTTTCAGACTTTTTCCTCCCCGGAGAGGGGTGGGGGTACTTGAAATTTTGGGGGGCGGGGGTAGAATTTTCGGGGAGGGGGCGGACACTGGAAAAAGTATATAATTATATTTCGTTGAATGGGACGGTAGACATGTTTTTTTGGGGGGTGGGGGTGGGGGTGGGTGGGTGGGGGTGGGGGTGGGGTGTGTGGGGTGGGTGGGGTTGGGGGTTGGGGGTAGGTGTGTGTGGGGGATGGGTTGGTTTTAGTTTAGAGAAAAGAGACAGCACTATCAACCTAGCGCCCGGTGTATCCTTCCTCAACGGGCCATTTTTCTCGTTAAAAGAATAATCAAATGGCTAAAAGGTGGTTTTTTTTTTGTAATGTTAGTTATAACTAATTTAAATGGTTCCTAGTTTATAACTATAAAAAGTTTTAATTTTTTTTATAATAAGTTGCTTTGATCTTAATACAGACGTGCTTAAAATGTGTTTCAATTTTTTTTTTCAAGTTTGTATTTATATAATCTGTATCGATAGACACATAGAACAGGCTACCAGATAGACACAGAGAACAGGCTACCAGATAGACACAGAGAACAGGCTACCAGATAGACAAACAGAGAACAGGCTACCAGATAGACACATTGAGAACAGGCTACCTGATAGACACAGAGAACAGGCTACCAGATAGACACAGAGAACAGGCTACCTGATAGATACAGAGAACAGGCTACCAGATAGACACAGAGAACAGGCTACCTGATAGAGACAGAGAACAGGCTACCTGATAGACACAGAGAACAGGCTACCAGATAGACACATAGAGAACAGGCTACCTGATAGACACAGAGAACAGGCTACCTGATAGACACAGAGAACAGGCTACCATATAGACACAGAGAACAGGCTACCAGATAGATACAGAGAACAGGCTACCAGATAGACACAGAGAACAGGCTACCAGATAGATACAGAGAACAGGCTACCAGATAGATACATAGAGAACAGGCTACCTGATAGACACAGAGAACAGGCTACCGGACAGTGGCGTAGCGAGGTCTGGTGTTACCCGGTGCGGCACTTAATGGGGTCACCCCCCAGAGGAGTAGTGACCCTTCCCGGGGACAAACTTTCAATTTTCGATTTGCACCCCTTAAAAGACCATTTAACACTCGAATTAATCAATTAATTAAGTGGAATTAACATTCTTCTATATATATTTTGCTATTTTTTGCCTTGGTATCACCCCCTTAAATGGTGTCACCCGGTGCGGTCCGCACCCCCCCCGCCCCACCCCCTCGCTACGCCTCTGCTACCAGATAGACACGTAGATAACTTACAAGTGTGAGCTAATGAGCAGGGACACTTGAGCCAACAGTAGACTACCAGATAGACACATGTTGCTGTGTCCGGCCCGACTCCTCAGTACCGGAAACTTTACATAGGTCATCAAGGTCAACACGAGACTTAACATCGACAAGGTCATGCATATCAAGGTCAGGATATACTCAGCAAACATCACGTCCATGGCTGGGTAACCTTGACCTTGCCCATTGTTCTGTACATCCTCCAATTCTCGAAGCTTCTCCTCCAGGTAACTATGACACACGCTCACACCTTCCTCTACCTGTAACATATTGAGCCCCACGTTATCTGAGATTACTATACGTTTGTCCTTTAGTTCTATCTCAACTTTCACCGCAGGTGGGATGCTAGTTTTGTCTATATGTATCGTGTGGTTTGTATTGTTTAATCTCACATAGCTACACGTCAACAACATTGAAACATTCAAATACGAAGTGACGAATTTCATCTTGTCTTGTTTGGATGTGAAGTTTTCAGATTTCAATTCTACCACAGTGCAGTTGATCCCAATATCAGTCGTGTTACAATAAAACTTGACGTTAAATTGACTTGGCATGACACGTCTGCTGAAGGTGACATTTGTAGCGTCAATGTCAAGTGTCATTGAGCTGGTGATAAACTGACGTGTCATCTCCTCTTCGAACTCGTCTCTCTTCTTATCGTTGCCAGCGATGACGGCCCCGTCTACCCAGAATACAGCGGGGCCCTGAGAGCTAAAATTAGAAGCTGTCAGCAGAGTCTGGTTGATGGAGATGGTGCCGACCTTGATGGAGTACTCAACACGTAAATCCTGCAACATCTTCTGGATCTGGTTGGATTTGAAGTTATTGTTTAGCAATTAGAAAATATAGTGTTCACTAAATGTACGTTAACAATATTATACATCTAGTGTTATTCAAGAAAATATTTTATACAATGTTTCAGACAGATCGTTATTGTAAAAACCGAACAGTACAGCCCGTAATGATGTCTCTTTTAACAAATCTCGATATACTATGAAATAAAATGCTGCTATAACAGTTATAATCATTAATTTCTTATCAATTAATTTCAAGAGTAATATATATTTCCATTTTAGGAAAACTCTACAAGTTAAATAACGTTTTGGACTTTCGTGAAATCTATTTTCGTACTAAAACAAACAGCATCAACAGTACACATAATAGACGCTGTATTTTATATGAAGACAAAAGATTGTAACTTCTGTACAGTTCTTCCGTTAGTTCAAACCTCTATGTTCAAAGTTGTTGTCTTTTAAACACAAAACATTTTTCGAATATCCCTATTTAAAGAAAAATTCTTTAGTTTTATTCTACCAAAAAATAAATACAAAAAACACTTGTAGTAACAAGCCTTTAAATCTCAGAAAATAAGAAAATAAAACTAATGTGTAAGTTATCTCCCCTTCTTTGATTGATTTAGAGTGATCAAGTGATCGCTAGCATTTAATCTTGTTATGCTCCATTGGTTTCGAAATGGTTTAATTAGTTTTAATGACTAATTTAACATACAATTAAAACAGATATTCACGCATTGCTCTTTAAGACGAACGTATCTTGAAAATTTAAGCGAAATCACTTCATTAGAAGTTGGTCGAAATTGACCTACAAGATTTGCCACAAACCCACGTTGTTAAATAAGTAAAAGCTTGTTAAAATTTAGTTAAAATAACTTACATGTTTGCGTGTGTTTTCCGTAAAACGTTTTAAATTCATAATCAATGTAATCATAATCTGTTGCGTTTGCAAAAGCATACGTATGTGAAGGTAAATTTTTTAAATGTGGCATTAAATAATTTTATTTTTATTTTTATCATTAGCTATATCTGATAGTCAATTATAAAAAGTAAAAACAGACATGTTTAGTGACTGCGGCTAGAGAGTTGACCAGATAATCAGATACAAAAAGTAAAAACAGACATGTTTAGTGACTGCGGCTAGAGAGTTGACCAGATAGTCAGGTACAAAAAGTAAAAACAGACATGTTTAGTGACCGCGGCTAGAGAAGTCCCATCTGTCCAGTTGATCAGATAGTTAGATACATAAAGTAAAAACAGACATGTTTAGTGACTGAGGCTAGAGAAGCCCCAGTTGACCAGATAGTCAGATACAAAAAGTAAAAACAGACATGTTTAGTGAGTGAGGCTAGAGAAGCCCCATCTGTCCAGTTGACCAGCTTGTCGTGGTGCCTCATGTCTGGGACTAGCCACACCCTCAGGCTGTAGGCCAGACCTGTGATGTCCTGTATGGCTGTAGCACAGCTTCTGTTGGTCAGCACCTTGCCAGGTGTACACTCTAGTGTCAGACACTCACCCTGCTCAGGTTAGATGAAAACGTTCAGACCATTCTGCGATCCACTCAATATTATGTTAAAGTATTAAGTTAGGTATCTCTAATATCAGTTTAAGAACAATAGCTCATGTAGCTCTGATTGCTAGAAATACAAAAGCCTCCCCTGACTCGGATAATTTACTAACTCCATATCCACACCTTACCTATATTAAACATAATTCAATTGAAAATTAAAACTGATAGGCGTTTCTATTTATAGTAGTCAATACTGAATGCAGGACATCTAGTTAGCTCCCCTTGCCCTACATTGATCGATGCCACAAAAATTACTATCTTTTCCACATTAGATGTGTAACAAGATGGTTATAATATGATCTTTAGTATCACTCAGACGTGACGTTGTTATCCGCTATTGAGGGATGATGACTTTAGTGACTATGTGCTATGATCCAAGTATGTTGGGACAGCTAAGGCTGGGGCCAATAAGGTGCATTTTAAAAACTAAATTTGTTATTTGGTTTTTACAATTTATTCACTTTTTGTATTTAGATATGAAAATTGTCCTAGGAATCGAATGTTGTCAAAACCATCCTAACATCTTTATACCACTTTCCAATGATAAATTAAATAATGCATAAGTGGTGTTTGTGCTAAAGTGTGACGTCATTTTAAAAAAGATTCTTACTTTTTTGTGACAATTTGTGGAAATGGGGTGGGCTATAAGGATAAAAATAGGGTTAAAATGTGGTTTATTGGGCGGCACATTAACCGTAGTTGGTGACATTAGATGACTTAGGACCGCCCCACTTACACTAGGACCGCCCCACTTACACTAGGACCACCCCACTTACATTAGGACAGCCCCACTTACACTAGGACCGCCCCGCTTACACTAGGACCGCCCCACTTACATTAGGACAGCCCCACTTACACTAGGACCACCCCACTTACACTAGGACAGCCCCACTTACACTAGGACCACCCCACTTACACTAGGACAGCCCCACTTACACTAGGACCACCCCACTTACACTAGGACCGCCCCACTTACACTAGGACAGCCCCACTTACACTAGGACAGCCCCACTTACACTAGGACAGCCCCACTTACACTAGGACAGCCCCACTTACACTAGGACCACCCCACTTACAATAGGACCGCCCCACTTACACTAGGACCGCCCCACTTACATTAGGACCGCCCACTTACACAAGGACCGCCCCATTTACATTAGGACCACCCCACTTACAATAGGACCGCCCCACTTACACTAGGACCGCCCCACTTACACTAGATCCGCCCCACTTAATCTAGAGCCGCCTCCATTACATTAGGACCGCCCCACCTACACTAGGACCGCCCACTTACATCATGAGCGCTCCATTGTGTGTCGTTACATTCTTTAGCCAGGACATCAGCCCTGCGTAACGCCGGTCTAACTGCTGACTGTCTGGTCCCAAAGTTGATCAGAAGAGACAGGGGCGGGTAGATCCTGACAGGGGGAGGCTGAGGGTCGCCCCCTGGGACTCTTTGGTCACAGACGCCCCAGAAAGGGAACATTTTCTGGAGAGTATTGGGTCAATTCGTGACAATTTTAATTTCAAGTTTTAACAGCAGGTAATAAAAAACACAGAAATTATCGAGTTTGAAATAAAAATAATTTGTAATAAAAATGATATTGCCTTAAAGTACTCTACTAAGCTTGTTTATGCAATTTTTGTGACTGCGTTTTATGTTGGTAGAGTGCAGGAGTTCTGACTCGTAAGTCTAGAGTTTGGACTCCAAGATCGAGTTCATAGACACTCTTCTAGGAGAGACCACTCCAAAATCAAACAACTACTACCTTGTTGTTGATCTTAATTAGACAAATGTTATGGAAGAAAATCCAAAAAGAAAAGCAGGCTGAAATCGGAGTCAATGGCCTCAATGGCGCATAACCAGTTGACACATATACTTAATTGTGTTGGGGGAATCCCTTCCAACACTAAAAATTAAGAACGAAGAAGAAGAAGATAGTACGCCTCTAAGTTCACCACGCTTAAATTTGTGCCCGACACATTATAGGGAAAGTAAAGGCGGAATAGTGCCGACTACACTGTCCCTTCTTATGCCGTGGTTAAGAAACAGATAAACTCTACGCTATCTGCCCCACGTGAGCTCTGAAAAGGTATATTGCATGCACTTAATACATAGATTCTAAAAATAGCATGAGTAACTATGACTTACCATGCTGCAGATTCCACAGAAAATGTTTTTATAATACCTAAACGGAAACCTGTTGTAGACGGGGTAGATGGGACCAGTCATGTTGTGGCAGGCGTGATGCACGTCCTCATCGAATACAGTAGAGTCACACTCCAGTGGTTTCTTGCTGGTTAGATGAAAATTGAACATATATTTTTTATAACAAGGAAATTATCATCATCGCTTCACTGTTCCGCTCCTCTGTCTCTCTCTCTCACTTAGTTTCTGGAACTTCTGTGAGCCATAATGTAACCCTGCCCATAGGTGTCAGTATTAAATTAATTTAGCGATTAAAAGCGACCACTTTGGGTGGAAAAAGTAATAAAAACATTAACAGCCTATGTGTATTTGATCATCAAAAGGGGAAAACATCTAGTTGTATTATTTAATTTTTTTAGTCTTTGAATTATCCTTTTTCTCCCTCTCTCAGATTTTCTCTCTTCTCTATCCACCAGAGGCGTAGCAACCCTTCCTGGTGACAAACTTTCGATTTGCACCCCCCACTCAGGATTTCGATTTGCACCCCCCTCCCCTCAAATTTTCTATTTCCACCCCCCACTAAAGCTTTCAATTTACTTTTCCAACCCATTTTGGCGCCCCCTAAGGTCGGCGCCCGGGGACATATGCCCCCCCCCCCGCCCCCCCCTCCCCCTCGCTACGCCTCAGCTATCCACACTCCCTCTCCTCGATTCTCTCTCCCTTTCCATTAGGGAATAAAAACACGAACTAAAAATGAATTACAATAAATCAAATCGATACTCTTATATTACTTACTATTTTTTTCAATTACTTTTTTTTAGGAACCAATGAGTTCTTTTTTACTCATTTAAAGATTTGATTAAAATCTGGCACCAGGTACAATTTTTTCGACACGAGAGTTATGTTAATAATCTATATATTTTAGTATATGTATTTGTATAATATGTATAATCCTAAATTTCCTTAAAATATTCAACTCAAAAGCTGATTTTATACAAGGTGATTTGCTGGCTTTGGACTATTATATTAGGGTCTCTAAAAAAATAAGTTATCAATGAAGAGCTTTTAATATATCAGAACAATAAAATAAAACGTTAAACATGTTTTAAATAGCGTTAGAATTTCTGACCATTTAAGAAAGATATTCAATTAGAAAAAGGTTTCAGTTATGTTGAGGATGACTCAGATAACTCAGATGACTGAGATGTAATTTATGTACCGGTAAAGGACAGGATCCAACTGTGTAAGTAGTGAGGTAGCTGACCAGGTGATGTAACGGGTGTATGGCCTACCTGTACAGGAGTCGGTTCCATGGTTCTAGTCCATTGGTGACAGAACACGTGACCTAGAGAACTAACCTCTAAATCTAACTCAATTACAGTTGCAAGTGATTTTGTTAACTTTCTAAGTAACCGTACAAATGTACCTGTACAGAGAAGGGCCACTTGGTGAAGGTAATGTTATAATTAACCATATGACGTAACACGTGTACCTGTACAGGAAAGGGTCACATGGTGCCAGTGACACGTTGTATGGGAACGTCTGTGTGACGTTACACGTGGAGTTTTTGGTCAGGGCTAGTCGCAACATCCGGTCAGCTGTTGTAGCTGTGTAGACGGTCATGTAGTGGTAGCAGTAGATCTTGGTCAGTAGTGGCACCATCTGGGGGGTCAATACAAACATTTGGTCAGTAGGGGCTCCATCTGGGGGGGGGGTCAATACAAACATTTGGTCAGTAGGGGCTCCATCTGGGGGGGGGGGGGGTCAATACAAACATGTGGTCAGTAGTGGCTCCATCTGGGGGGGGGGGTCAATACAAACATTTGGTCAGTAGGGGCTCCATCTGGGGGGGGGTCAATACAAACATTTGGTCAGTAGGGGCTCCATCTGGGGGGGGGGTCAATACAAACATGTGGTCAGTAGTGGCTCTATCTGGGGGTCAATACAAACATTTGGTCAGTAGTGGCTCCTGGGGGGGGGGTCAATACAAACATTTGGTCAGTAGTGGCTCTATCTGGGGGAGGGGAGGTCAATACAAACATTTGGTCAGTAGTGGCTCTATCTGGGGGGGGGGGGGGGTCAATACAAACATTTGGTCAGTAGTGGCTCTATCTGGGGGGGGGGGGGGTCAATACAAACATTTGGTCAGTAGTGGCTCTATCTGGGGGGGGGGGGGGTCAATACAAACATTTGGTCAGTAGTTGCTCCATCTGGGGGTCAATACAAACATTTGGTCAGTAGTGGCTCCATCTGGGGGGGGGGGCGGTCAATACAAACATGTGGTCAGTAGTGGCTCTATCTGGGGGAGGGGAGGTCAATACAAACATGTGGTCAGTAGTGGCTCCATTTGGGGGTGTCAATACAAACATTTGGTTAGTAGTGGATCCATCTTTTTTCTCCAGGGGGGCTTTTGAAATTTTCGAGGGCGGGGGGGGGGGGAGGGCGGTCAACATTTTTCGGGGGGGGGGGGGGTGGCGGACACTAGTAAAAGAGTATGATTACTATATAAAATCCATCTCGTTCTCCCCCGAAGAGCTGCCTGGAAGAAACTCTGTCTGGGAGTCAATACAAACATGTGGTAAGTAGTGGCTCCATCTGGGGGGGGGGGGGGGGGGGGAAGGGGTCAGGCAAACAATTGGTCAGTAGTGGCTCCATCTGGGGGCAGTGTAAAAATGTGGTCAAAAGTGGTCAATCTAGTGGTCAGTCTAGTGGTCAGTCCGTCGTTCAGTCTGTCGTTCAGTCTGTCGTTCAGTCTGTCGTTCAGTCTGTCGTTCAGTCTGTCGTTCAGTCTGTCGTTCAGTCTGTCGGTCATTAGAAACAAATTAGATAGGCTAGGTCAGAAAGTTATTTTTTTTATTATTTGTAAATCATACGTATGCATTTTTTAATAAAATGAGTACATCTTAACGCCACAAGAAAAGTAAATACTTGTTTGGATGAGGGCGGATTGAAATAAAACACACCATCACATATTTACACATTAAATATTTAATTCCCCCAGGTGCTAATGAAAGTATCAATAATTAGAACTTTTCCTCCATAGATTGAATGATAAAAAATGCTTTTAATTTATTTTTTATTCGCGCTGTCGAGTGGGGAAGTAAACAAATAATTAATGAGAAATATTAAATTACCATTCAAACAGAGATTTTTAAAATAAAGTTCTCACGAAACAAAATACTATTAAAATACATTAAATCCATTTTATGGTGTTAAGTTTCACATATCACTTTTGGTACTAAATTCGTTTTAGGTTTTCTAGAAAATATGTCTGATCTGATTTTAATTTCGTGACTCAATTAACAGTCATACGTGTAGATACAAATGATCTTATATTTTTTTTATTTTTAAAAATGTATACAAAATAGAAGTTAGTATGATTTTGTACTTATTTTAAAACTGCTGATGTAAGCTTAAATATTTTTTTTTCATTTTTTTTTATTTGGTGAGATGTCTTTCAAGTTTTGTAAAATACATTCAATTACACAAATATAATGTGATATGAAAATATTAGACAAGGCAGACAAGTGTATATTATTCTTTTTAATTTCTTATTTAAAATGTGTTACAGCTACATAACAGTTGTTTAATTACTGAGCTTCTTTCAATGTGTTCAATCTGAATATCCTAATATGGGTTTTTAAAAAATTAAATACTAGACAAATCAATTTACCTAACTACTTTTCCAAATGAGTCCTAAATTAGTAGCATATTGGTTCTCTTCTTCAACAAACAATACTAAATTTTAAGCCAATACACATGATGAAGAACTACGCCATCTGCGCAAGCAGGACAAATGTCATTATCTAGCATAAATCCTCAAGTTTTAAAATTGCGTAGCAAAGAAGGCCATGTTTAACCCAAGTTTACCGCTACAACATGACATGTTACGTACCTCAGTGACCCTGTTGCACACGGCACAGTATCTGTTCTTGTACACCACCTGAGTGACGTTGTCCACAACTCGGGTGACGTAAGCAGTGGTGACGTCATCGTCCGACAGCTCCCCCTCACACAGCCTGACAGTGTCCTTGTCCCCATTGTAGTCCGCCAAACACGAGCGGAAATAGAAACTGGTGTATTCAGAATCGCAGCCAAGTTTAGGCGGGGAAACTTTACTCTGGTTAAAAACTTGGACTGGATTTTGTTTGGCGTTCACAAATCCTGGTACGGCTTCGGGATTATTTTCAAAAAAAATTGTTTCGTTAAATTCCGAGATGTTGTAGATTCCACTTTTTAAGCCCGGGGGTGGGACGTAGTTGTCCTCCACACTGGGGCAGCATGAGCCGTAAATCTGACAGGACGGTCGGTGGCAGGTGCAGGTGGTGCAGTAGAAGGTGGGACAGACCTGCTGCAGGATGTTGTTGGTGTAGACCAGTCGATCGCCCTGACACCTGGCGGGGCAGTAACTCTGCTGGTAGTCTCTTGAAGACACGGCCGTTTTGTTCCAGGTGTAGTCAGTCACGTTGACCTGCTGTAAAATTCTGGGTCCTATGGAATTACAGTATACGATGAGAACAGCACACAAATATATAGGTATCAGATGCATTTGGATATGCATGAGACAGAATCACACCTATGTATCTTGGTTCTGATGTAAGTGTTTATGCGAGTGTGGCTGTGGAAGATGGCTCCAGAAAAACAACAACGACGATACGGTTGACTGAGTCAGCGCAAACCACGCGCGGTTCCAGACGATTGGATTCGACTACCGCAGGCTGCTCACTTGTGCATGATGTTGTAGACTCACATTTAGTACCAGATGACATAATACATTCACTCGAAGTAAAAGATTTTAATAAAGCCGCATATTATTAAAAAAAACCACACATTAGAGGAGTATTTGCATAATTTAAATGCAATGTGTAGTCATTGTATATTGTTGTATTTTGTTTGTAGTGATCAGTTGTGTTGTGCTATTTAGCTCTAATGTATTCTATGTTTTGTGCAGTGATGTTGCTATAAAATGTTGAAAAATGGTGGGTTGATGTGTCGTTGTAAAGAGCAATTTTTACCAAAAAAATTTTTTAAATTAGTTTTTTCTCTTAATTATTTGAAACGTCGTCAAAATTCCGAATCAATATATTTAATCTTGACAAAAGTTGATTAATATTTTCGAAAAAGAAAGACGTTTAAAGGCGAATTTTTTTTTTAACTCTGAATTTTCGACGTCATATTAAGGTGTGGGGAGTGTGACGTTTTGTGACGATGTGTGACGATGTGTGACAGTGTGTGACGGTGTGTGACGATGTATGATGGTGTGTGACGATGTATGACAGTGTGTGACGATGTATGACGTTGTGTGACAGTGTGTGACAATGTATGACAGTGTGTGACGGTGTGTGACGATGTGGGAAGTAAAAAAAGCGTCAAAAAGCGTCACTTAGCTGAGTTGCCAAAAATCAGTGCAAAAATTGATACTTTTAAACTTTAGACAAAACCAAACTCGAAAGAGGAGTTAAGCACAAAAGTAAACAAAAGTAAACATGTACCACTATCAATCAACCTACATGAAGAAAATCAGCTTTAGGACATCTTGAAATCTTTGTCTGAGAACCAGGGAGAGCTCACCATGAGCCCAGATACACTGGATGTTTCTTCTAGACTTCTCTCTCCGGGGGGGGGGGGGGGCACTTGAAATTTTCGGGGGGGGGCGGTAGACTTTCTTTGAGGGGGGGGGGCGGACACTGTTAAAAGTATATATTTTCTATATAAATTATACAAATTTCATTTCGTTCGGGGGCGGGGGGGGGGGGGGGGAGGGCGGAAATTTTTTTCCGGCAAAGCCCCCTCGAAGAGATGCCTGGAAGAAACTCTGATTTGAAATAAGCTTATACATGAGTGTTCAGGAGAGCATAAATAAAGGGAGACAACACAAATAATTTGTATGCCCCAAGATAAACTGGATATATTCCCCTTAAATGATTACAAATTATAGCATTTTATAAATAACCCAAGACAGAAACTCCATGAATTTTGATTCCTTAACTACTTTAATATAATATTTCGTCTACTACATCCATAAATCAAATAATAAAATAGCTATTTGTTTAGAAATCTATTTAAAGAGGGGGGTGGAGGGCTTTAGTGTTTTAAAGCAAATATTTTCAGTGACAGCATTGGTACTGTCGAATTCACAAATTATGAATTACTGAAAAGTAGAAAATAAAACAACTTCATAGCCGCGTATGATACGCCGCTGGTCGGCTCTTATCAATAAATCAAACATCAAACACCACGTGTTTGCCTATCACCCTACTGACTATACAGCAAATATTTCAATACAGGTTTAAACCCATATCTGAGACTGCCAAGTAAAAAACAACCACTTTGGCAACATACATCGGTTTTTAAATACTGTAAAATGTATTGTGCTAATATTTATTGAACACCTATGCTGAAAGATGACGGGACGGCGTTGCCAAAGCGATACAGCGCTAGGCTGCTTATCCGAAATTCCCGAGTTCGAATTGGGGTCCAAGTACCTAATTTACATTATGGATAGTAAAGGCGGCTGGGCAAAGCGCTGACCACACCACATATCAAGGTCAAGAAACTTATGAACACTTCATCTGCCCAATGGATCGCTAGGTCTAAAAATGATTCTTTACTACTTTATTCAGTGGAAAGGAAATCGCTATACTAGAAATAGGTGGAAATTAAATTTTAAGAATCTCATGTACATCATGCCGTGACATCACCCAATCGAAGATCACCACCAACCACAAGTTCACGATAAAGCGCTAACAGTGAGGCCTTGATGGTCTATATGATCTGATCGCGATTTAATATACTTCACGCTAACAGTGTATGTTTCTTAAGATGACGAATGAAACTCAACCGAGAATAACTTCCAAATTATTCTATAGACCCATAACTATTTAAAAAATCATGTCCGAATTTATTAAAATAATATGTTTATAAAAAATCTGACTCGTTGATTTTTGTTGAAATTTACTTAAGATTGAATATATATGTTTTTTTTTTTTGCATAGTACTTTTGGTTAAAAAAAATTTAATTAATAACACATTTTTTATCACTGAAAATGTAAATAAATATAGCAAAATTACATAACTATTTCACTTGATTTTAAAAATTAATTGAATTAAAAAATTGTATCGGCAAAGTAACAAATTATTACAAAGTGGGGTTTTCAGAAAATCAATCATGCAAAATTATGTTTTTCCGTATCAGTGAGATGTAAAACGTCGAGATTTGTAAAAATCTCGATTTTTTTTTGCACGATTACAAGACTTTCTCTATACTTCGTATATACGAGAAAGTAAAAAACCCCAAACCATTCCCACAAAGGAACTAGCCAGCACTCCGGGGAACATTATGTATCGGTGTGTTCCTTATTAAAAATGGAAGCCAGAATTGTGATCATGTGACCTGTAGGATGAAGGTACCGCCCTTTTGTATTGAAAAACAAAATCACGTGACCTTTGTTCATACCCCTGATTATTTTTAATTAAACCAGTTAAGTTTTTGCCCCGTCAAAAAGGCCTCGACATATTGACTCCCGTCAAGTGGGAAAAATGTGTACCAAATCTCTTCCCCACAGAGTTTCTTCCAGGCATCTCTTCGGGGGGGCGAAGCCCCCCCGAAAAATTTTTACCGCCCCCCCCGAACGAAATTAAATTTATATAATTTATATAGAAAATATATACTTTTAACAGTGTCCGCCCCCCCGAAGAAAGTTTACCGCCCCCCCGAAGATTTCAAGTGCCCCCCCCCGGAGAAAAAAGTCTGGAAGAAACACTGCTTCCCCACAAACTGGATATCTTGACTGAACAAAGAATTTTCGGAAGTAGTCCGATTCATAGTCTCTAAATTTAAATCAAACTACTGTTGTTTAAATACAGAATTTTCAGGTACAGATTTTTGTATAAAAGATTCTTAAAAATAGGATATTTTGTTTATAAGTTTGTAGAAAGTCTGAAGGAAGTCAATTTTACAAAAATCCAATCTAAACTGTTGTAATAAAAATTGAATTATTTGGGATGTTTATAAAGTAAGGTATTTGTTATCTTGAATCTCTGTGTATAGGATTTATTATTGGTTTCATTCGGTGATGGCCTTTCTACTGGATGTTAGGTGTATTGTTTCTACATTTTTAGGCAATTTTCAATTCAGATATACATTACCAGGAGCTGTTTTTTTTATTTGCTGAAATAATTTTGTATTGATATAATTTTTTAAAAATCTACCACATTAGTAAAATATTAAATACTCTTTCTCTCCTACTAAGTTCTTTCTTATCAGTTGTTTCCATTTACTTTATTTAAGGGAAGATGCAATTAAATAAAACTAGCTAGGCAGAGAAATCATTGTTTGGTAATCTCCCTTCTAAGTAACAAAGGAGCTGTTTTTATACATTGTGACTTGTTGACTTAAACCCTCTGTAGAATTTAAACATTTGCAGCATTAAAAACAACAAAATTAGTTTTGTAAATTATGTTATGTAATTATTTTCATTTAAGGGGATCCTAACAATTTTCACAACTGCATTTCAAATCCATTTAGACAATTCAAGTGTTTATTTTCCTTTAACAAATCAAGATGTAATGTTTTAAGTTCTATAAATAGATGACCGAACACATCACCTCAACTCTGCTAAAAACCAGCATTTAAAAACTTCACATGCCGACACAGAGAAGAAGTTAAAGTGAAACCTGTGTTTCTTACAGGTGTTTATAACATGTCCTCATCAGAAGGTGAATATTGGACATAGCAGATATTGGTTTGCTTTTGTTTTAGTTATATTACATTCTTCATATATAAGATCATGTTCTGGGGACTTGGCCATATATATATATATATATATATATATATATATATATATATATATATATATATATATATATATATATATATATATATATATATATATATATATATATATATATATATATACGATACTCTGAAAAAAAGAACAAAACACGATCTAGGTCCACAATACAACAGCTTATCACACCAAAACAAAATATACACACAACACAGCAGTTTATCACAAAAAACAAATAACAAAATATACACACAACACACCAAATATTGCAAAAAAAAAAAAAAAAAAACTTTTGACATAATGGCATTTTATTTAGTCAAGCGAACGACAGTAGGGGAAATAATCACTCTTAATATAGACATGGATTGATAAACTTATTTAATTGCAGATTTCAAATTTAAACAGATCAATAACTATTTTACTATTTAATATTGTAGCTTATTACTATTTCCAACATAAATGCTAAAATATCACAGCATAAAAAAGTTTGTGAAAGCTGAGTTGGTATAAAAAAAAATAATTTCAAAATAACACTATAATTCATAGATGGATCAGTCTCAATACTAGCCTACCAGAAATTTATCTTTACACTGTGACTTTCAGATCTTGACATCTTTGAATTAGCCACTGCTTTTTGTGTTCTTCAAAGATTAATTTTTAACATAATGATAAGGAATGGGAGAGATCATTGTACTGTAGTGCGGCTCATACACCACTTTACTGGTAACTGCAAAAACAATATTCACAAAAGTTCACCTGTTACAAATGCTATGATTCTGATTGTAAAATAAACAACTAGATCTATAGTTATTCTTTACTTGAAATTTGCTTTATTTATATAGTGGAGGCAGGTTCACTCTTAATCTTATCCACAGTGTTTATAAACTTTATATATTGGAGGCAGGTTCACTCTTAGCCTTATCCACAGTGTTTATAAACTTTATATATTGGAGGCAGGTTCACTCTTAGTCTTATCCACAGTGTTTTTATACCTAATTTACCTGAGGTATTTAAGTACATGTTCATCAAGTACGTGCTGACCATCTTGACTCATACTAACGTTCTTGAAGTTGTGTGAGAAAATGGAGTGGTGTGGCAGAGGCGTAGCGACCCTTTTCGGCGCCCAGGGACTAAAACTTTCGATTAGCACCCCACACCTTAAACTTTCGATTTGCACCCCCCCCCCCCCCTCAAACTTTGATTTGCACCCCCCCCCTCAACCTTTCAATTTTTTTCCAACCCATTTTGTCCCCTCCCCCCTACGCCTCTGTGGTGTGGTTGGGGACGGGTGGGTTGGGGTTTGGTATACTGCGTGTATTGTGAGGTTTTTGTGTGTAGTGGAGTAGGCTGTGGTGTATTGGGAATGGCGTGGGATAAGTAACTGGGTTTGGATAATGTAAGTAGCGCGGCTGAGATGTGGGTAGGGCAATGTACAGTAAAGGGATATAAATCCTGGACAGTGGGTTTTAAATGTGCATTGTAGGGTGTAGTGTTTTTTTGCGGGGTTGGGTGTGCGATGTTGTGGTTTAGGATGTCGGGTGGCGTTCAAGAGAGTGTTGAAGTGTGGGCCGGGGTTGTGTGGGGGTTTGGTTAGGTGTGTAGTTCGTGGTGTCGTACAGTGTAAGGTGGTGTGGATTTTGGTATGGGTGAGGTTTGGAGTGTGGTAAATTGTGTGTATGGTGTGGGATAAGTGACTGGGTGTAGATCGTAGGGTTAGTTTTAGGTTATGCTAATGAAGCTTATTTAAAAACACTACTACAATTCAAAAGGGAAAATAACCATTAAAGTATTTGAGATCTCTGTATCAGCTAGCCGAGGGCATGACTTGGTGATAACGGCTAGTTGGTTTTAAATATAATAGCTGACCAGAGAGTAAGAATATTGTCTACGATGAGTTACAAGATTCTACTACTACGTGCTACAGACTTCCTTAAAAAAACTGAAAGAATTATTAAATTCTGTAAATAGCTAGGTGGTATATACATAATTATTCTTATTCCGCTTAAAAGCTTATGATTATACAGTAGTTTTATTTTTATTTCAAACAAAAATCTTGTGAAGTTAGTCAAATAAAAATAAGATACTTTTAATCAGTGTCTTCCTAGTGACCTAAGGTTCTGAAACTGATTTTTAAAAAAATGATGTTTGCATTATTGAATATATATAGAAACAACTGCTTTTTTCAATGGTCCAGTAGGATGATAGAGACATTTGCATTCTTGTACTGGTCCTGTAGACGCTTTGTCAAATAAAGGTGGTACAATCTGGGGGTAAACAAAACGTAATACTTCCAAAATTGGGTCTGTGATAGTGAACAGCCAGTTGTTGAAAGTGCTGCGCTGCGCCCAGACTAGACACCCCGTCCACCAGCTGTGCCCATGTTTCGTGTATCATGTTTCGTGTATCATGTTTCGTGTATCATGTTTCGTGTATCATGTTTCGTGTATCATGTTTCGTGTATCATGTTTCGTGTATCATGTTTCGTGTATCATGTTTCGTGTATCATGTTTCGTGTATCATGTTTCGTGTATCATGTTTCGTGCATCATGTTTCGTGCATCATGTTTCGTGCATCATGTTTCGTGCATCATGTTTCGTGCATCATGTTTCGTGCATCATGTTTCGTGCATCATGTTTCGTGCATCATGTTTCGTGCATCATGTTTCGTGCATCATGTTTCGTGCATCATGTTTCGTGCATCATGTTTCGTGCATCATGTTTCGTGCATCATGTTTCGTGCATCATGTTTCGTGTATCATGTTTCGTGTATCATGTTTCGTGTATCATGTTTCGTGTATCATGTTTCGTGTATCATGTTTCGTGTATCATGTTTCGTGTATCATGTTTCGTGTATCATGTTTCGTGTATCATGTTTCGTGTATCATGTTTCGTGTATCATGTTTCGTGTATCATGTTTCGTGTATCATGTTTCGTGTATCATGTTTCGTGTATCATGTTTCGTGTATCATGTTTCGTGTATCATGTTTCGTGTATCATGTTTCGTGTATCATGTTTCGTGTATCATGTTTCGTGTATCATGTTTCGTGTCTCATGTTTCGTGTCTCATGTTTCGTGTCTCATGTTTCGTGTCTCATGTTTCGTGTCTCATGTTTCGTGTCTCATGTTTCGTGTCTCATGTTTCGTGTCTCATGTTTCGTGTCTCATGTTTCGTGTCTCATGTTTCGTGTCTCATGTTTCGTGTCTCATGTTTCGTGTCTCATGTTTCGTGTCTCATGTTTCGTGTCTCATGTTTCGTGTCTCATGTTTCGTGTCTCATGTTTCGTGTCTCATGTTTCGTGTCTCATGTTTCGTGTCTCATGTTTCGTGTCTCATGTTTCGTGTCTCATGTTTCGTGTCTCATGTTTCGTGTCTCATGTTTCGTGTCTCATGTTTCGTGTCTCATGTTTCGTGTCTCATGTTTCGTGTCTCATGTTTCGTGTCTCATGTTTCGTGTCTCATGTTTCGTGTCTCATGTTTCGTGTCTCATGTTTCGTGTCTCATGTTTCGTGTCTCATGTTTCGTGTCTCATGTTTCGTGTCTCATGTTTCGTGTCTCATGTTTCGTGTCTCATGTTTCGTGTCTCATGTTTCGTGTCTCATGTTTCGTGTCTCATGTTTCGTGTCTCATGTTTCGTGTCTCATGTTTCGTGTCTCATGTTTCGTGTCTCATGTTTCGTGTCTCATGTTTCGTGTCTCATGTTTCGTGTCTCATGTTTCGTGTCTCATGTTTCGTGTCTCATGTTTCGTGTCTCATGTTTCGTGTCTCATGTTTCGTGTCTCATGTTTCGTGTCTCATGTTTCGTGTCTCATGTTTCGTGTCTCATGTTTCGTGTCTCATGTTTCGTGTCTCATGTTTCGTGTCTCATGTTTCGTGTCTCATGTTTCGTGTCTCATGTTTCGTGTCTCATGTTTCGTGTCTCATGTTTCGTGTCTCATGTTTCGTGTCTCATGTTTCGTGTCTCATGTTTCGTGTCTCATGTTTCGTGTCTCATGTTTCGTGTCTCATGTTTCGTGTCTCATGTTTCGTGTCTCATGTTTCGTGTCTCATGTTTCGTGTCTCATGTTTCGTGTCTCATGTTTCGTGTCTCATGTTTCGTGTCTCATGTTTCGTGTCTCATGTTTCGTGTCTCATGTTTCGTGTCTCATGTTTCGTGTCTCATGTTTCGTGTCTCATGTTTCGTGTCTCATGTTTCGTGTCTCATGTTTCGTGTCTCATGTTTCGTGTCTCATGTTTCGTGTCTCATGTTTCGTGTCTCATGTTTCGTGTCTCATGTTTCGTGTCTCATGTTTCGTGTCTCATGTTTCGTGTCTCATGTTTCGTGTCTCATGTTTCGTGTATCATGTTTCGTGTATCATGTTTCGTGTATCATGTTTCGTGTATCATGTTTCGTGTATCATGTTTCGTGTATCATGTTTCGTGTATCATGTTTCGTGTATCATGTTTCGTGTATCATGTTTCGTGTATCATGTTTCGTGTATCATGTTTCGTGTATCATGTTTCGTGCATCATGTTTCGTGCATCATGTTTCGTGCATCATGTTTCGTGCATCATGTTTCGTGCATCATGTTTCGTGCATCATGTTTCGTGCATCATGTTTCGTGCATCATGTTTCGTGCATCATGTTTCGTGCATCATGTTTCGTGCATCATGTTTCGTGCATCATGTTTCGTGTATCATGTTTCGTGTATCATGTTTCGTGTATCATGTTTCGTGTATCATGTTTCGTGTATCATGTTTCGTGTATCATGTTTCGTGTATCATGTTTCGTGTATCATGTTTCGTGTATCATGTTTCGTGTATCATGTTTCGTGTATCATGTTTCGTGTATCATGTTTCGTGTATCATGTTTCGTGTATCATGTTTCGTGTATCATGTTTCGTGTATCATGTTTCGTGTATCATGTTTCGTGTATCATGTTTCGTGTATCATGTTTCGTGTATCATGTTTCGTGTATCATGTTTCGTGTATCATGTTTCGTGTATCATGTTTCGTGTATCATGTTTCGTGTATCATGTTTCGTGTATCATGTTTCGTGTATCATGTTTCGTGTATCATGTTTCGTGTATCATGTTTCGTGTATCATGTTTCGTGTATCATGTTTCGTGTATCATGTTTCGTGTATCATGTTTCGTGTATCATGTTTCGTGTATCATGTTTCGTGTATCATGTTTCGTGTATCATGTTTCGTGTATCATGTTTCGTGTATCATGTTTCGTGTATCATGTTTCGTGTATCATGTTTCGTGTATCATGTTTCGTGTATCATGTTTCGTGTATCATGTTTCGTGTATCATGTTTCGTGTATCATGTTTCGTGTATCATGTTTCGTGTATCATGTTTCGTGTATCATGTTTCGTGTATCATGTTTCGTGTATCATGTTTCGTGTATCATGTTTCGTGTATCATGTTTCGTGTATCATGTTTCGTGTATCATGTTTCGTGTATCATGTTTCGTGTATCATGTTTCGTGTATCATGTTTCGTGTATCATGTTTCGTGTATCATGTTTCGTGTATCATGTTTCGTGTATCATGTTTCGTGTATCATGTTTCGTGTATCATGTTTCGTGTATCATGTTTCGTGTATCATGTTTCGTGTATCATGTTTCGTGTATCATGTTTCGTGTATCATGTTTCGTGTATCATGTTTCGTGTATCATGTTTCGTGTATCATGTTTCGTGTATCATGTTTCGTGTATCATGTTTCGTGTATCATGTTTCGTGTATCATGTTTCGTGTATCATGTTTCGTGTCTCATGTTTCGTGTCTCATGTTTCGTGTCTCATGTTTCGTGTCTCATGTTTCGTGTCTCATGTTTCGTGTCTCATGTTTCGTGTCTCATGTTTCGTGTCTCATGTTTCGTGTCTCATGTTTCGTGTCTCATGTTTCGTGTCTCATGTTTCGTGTCTCATGTTTCGTGTCTCATGTTTCGTGTCTCATGTTTCGTGTCTCATGTTTCGTGTCTCATGTTTCGTGTCTCATGTTTCGTGTCTCATGTTTCGTGTCTCATGTTTCGTGTCTCATGTTTCGTGTCTCATGTTTCGTGTCTCATGTTTCGTGTCTCATGTTTCGTGTCTCATGTTTCGTGTCTCATGTTTCGTGTCTCATGTTTCGTGTCTCATGTTTCGTGTCTCATGTTTCGTGTCTCATGTTTCGTGTCTCATGTTTCGTGTCTCATGTTTCGTGTCTCATGTTTCGTGTCTCATGTTTCGTGTCTCATGTTTCGTGTCTCATGTTTCGTGTCTCATGTTTCGTGTCTCATGTTTCGTGTCTCATGTTTCGTGTCTCATGTTTCGTGTCTCATGTTTCGTGTCTCATGTTTCGTGTCTCATGTTTCGTGTCTCATGTTTCGTGTCTCATGTTTCGTGTCTCATGTTTCGTGTCTCATGTTTCGTGTCTCATGTTTCGTGTCTCATGTTTCGTGTCTCATGTTTCGTGTCTCATGTTTCGTGTCTCATGTTTCGTGTCTCATGTTTCGTGTCTCATGTTTCGTGTCTCATGTTTCGTGTCTCATGTTTCGTGTCTCATGTTTCGTGTCTCATGTTTCGTGTCTCATGTTTCGTGTCTCATGTTTCGTGTCTCATGTTTCGTGTCTCATGTTTCGTGTCTCATGTTTCGTGTCTCATGTTTCGTGTCTCATGTTTCGTGTCTCATGTTTCGTGTCTCATGTTTCGTGTCTCATGTTTCGTGTCTCATGTTTCGTGTCTCATGTTTCGTGTCTCATGTTTCGTGTCTCATGTTTCGTGTCTCATGTTTCGTGTCTCATGTTTCGTGTCTCATGTTTCGTGTCTCATGTTTCGTGTCTCATGTTTCGTGTCTCATGTTTCGTGTCTCATGTTTCGTGTCTCATGTTTCGTGTCTCATGTTTCGTGTCTCATGTTTCGTGTCTCATGTTTCGTGTCTCATGTTTCGTGTCTCATGTTTCGTGTCTCATGTTTCGTGTCTCATGTTTCGTGTCTCATGTTTCGTGTCTCATGTTTCGTGTCTCATGTTTCGTGTCTCATGTTTCGTGTCTCATGTTTCGTGTCTCATGTTTCGTGTCTCATGTTTCGTGTCTCATGTTTCGTGTCTCATGTTTCGTGTCTCATGTTTCGTGTCTCATGTTTCGTGTCTCATGTTTCGTGTCTCATGTTTCGTGTCTCATGTTTCGTGTCTCATGTTTCGTGTCTCATGTTTCGTGTCTCATGTTTCGTGTCTCATGTTTCGTGTCTCATGTTTCGTGTCTCATGTTTCGTGTCTCATGTTTCGTGTCTCATGTTTCGTGTCTCATGTTTCGTGTCTCATGTTTCGTGTCTCATGTTTCGTGTCTCATGTTTCGTGTCTCATGTTTCGTGTCTCATGTTTCGTGTCTCATGTTTCGTGTCTCATGTTTCGTGTCTCATGTTTCGTGTCTCATGTTTCGTGTCTCATGTTTCGTGTCTCATGTTTCGTGTCTCATGTTTCGTGTCTCATGTTTCGTGTCTCATGTTTCGTGTCTCATGTTTCGTGTCTCATGTTTCGTGTCTCATGTTTCGTGTCTCATGTTTCGTGTCTCATGTTTCGTGTCTCATGTTTCGTGTCTCATGTTTCGTGTCTCATGTTTCGTGTCTCATGTTTCGTGTCTCATGTTTCGTGTCTCATGTTTCGTGTCTCATGTTTCGTGTCTCATGTTTCGTGTCTCATGTTTCGTGTTTCATGTTTCCTGTCTCATGTTTCGTGTCTCATGTTTCGTGTCTCATGTTTCGTGTCTCATGTTTCGTGTCTCATGTTTCGTGTCTCATGTTTCGTGTCTCATGTTTCGTGTCTCATGTTTCGTGTCTCATGTTTCGTGTCTCATGTTTCGTGTCTCATGTATTGTGTCTCATGTTTCGTGTCTCATGTTTCGTGTCTCATGTTTCGTGTCTCATGTTTCGTGTCTCATGTTTCGTGTCTCATGTTTCGTGTCTCATGTTTCGTGTCTCATGTTTCGTGTCTCATGTTTCGTGTCTCATGTTTCGTGTCTCATGTTTCGTGTCTCATGTTTCGTGTCTCATGTTTCGTGTCTCATGTTTCGTGTCTCATGTTTCGTGTCTCATGTTTCGTGTATCATGTTTCGTGTATCATGTTTCGTGTATCATGTTTCGTGTATCATGTTTCGTGTATCATGTTTCGTGTATCATGTTTCGTGTATCATGTTTCGTGTATCATGTTTCGTGTATCATGTTTCGTGTATCATGTTTCGTGTATCATGTTTCGTGTATCATGTTTCGTGTCTCATGTTTCGTGTCTCATGTTTCGTGTCTCATGTTTCGTGTCTCATGTTTCGTGTCTCATGTTTCGTGTCTCATGTTTCGTGTCTCATGTTTCGTGTCTCATGTTTCTTGTCTCATGTTTCGTGTCTCATGTTTCGTGTATCATGTTTCGTGTATCATGTTTCGTGTATCATGTTTCGTGTATCATGTTTCGTGTATCATGTTTCGTGTATCATAATTCGTGTATCATGTTTCGTGTATCATGTTTCGCAAGACATAATATGGCTCACGTATCATGTCTCACGTATCATGTCTCACGTATCATGTCTCACGTATCATGTCTCACGTATCATGTCTCACGTATCATGTCTCACGTATCATGTCTCACGTATCATGTCTCACGTATCATGTCTCACGTATCATGTCTCACGTATCATGTCTCACGTATCATGTCTCACGTATCATGTCTCACGTATCATGTCTCACGTATCATGTCTCACGTATCATGTCTCACGTATCATGTCTCACGTATCATGTCTCACGTATCATGTCTCACGTATCATGTCTCACGTATCATGTCTCACGTATCATGTCTCACGTATCATGTCTCACGTATCATGTCTCACGTATCATGTCTCACGTATCATGTCTCACGTATCATGTCTCACGTATCATGTCTCACGTATCATGTCTCACGTATCATGTCTCACGTATCATGTCTCACGTATCATGTCTCACGTATCATGTCTCACGTATCATGTCTCACGTATCATGTCTCACGTATCATGTCTCACGTATCATGTCTCACGTATCATGTCTCACGTATCATGTCTCACGTATCATGTCTCACGTATCATGTCTCACGTATCATGTCTCACGTATCATGTCTCACGTATCATGTCTCACGTATCATGTCTCACGTATCATGTCTCACGTATCATGTCTCACGTATCATGTCTCACGTATCATGTCTCACGTATCATGTCTCACGTATCATGTCTCACGTATCATGTCTCACGTATCATGTCTCACGTATCATGTCTCACGTATCATGTCTCACGTATCATGTCTCACGTATCATGTCTCACGTATCATGTCTCACGTATCATGTCTCACGTATCATGTCTCACGTATCATGTCTCACGTATCATGTCTCACGTATCATGTCTCACGTATCATGTCTCACGTATCATGTCTCACGTATCATGTCTCACGTATCATGTCTCACGTATCATGTCTCACGTATCATGTCTCACGTATCATGTCTCACGTATCATGTCTCACGTATCATGTCTCACGTATCATGTCTCACGTATCATGTCTCACGTATCATGTCTCACGTATCATGTCTCACGTATCATGTCTCACGTATCATGTCTCACGTATCATGTCTCACGTATCATGTCTCACGTATCATGTCTCACGTATCATGTCTCACGTATCATGTCTCACGTATCATGTCTCACGTATCATGTCTCACGTATCATGTCTCACGTATCATGTCTCACGTATCATGTCTCACGTATCATGTCTCACGTATCATGTCTCACGTATCATGTCTCACGTATCATGTCTCACGTATCATGTCTCACGTATCATGTCTCACGTATCATGTCTCACGTATCATGTCTCACGTATCATGTCTCACGTATCATGTCTCACGTATCATGTCTCACGTATCATGTCTCACGTATCATGTCTCACGTATCATGTCTCACGTATCATGTCTCACGTATCATGTCTCACGTATCATGTCTCACGTATCATGTCTCACGTATCATGTCTCACGTATCATGTCTCACGTATCATGTCTCACGTATCATGTCTCACGTATCATGTCTCACGTATCATGTCTCACGTATCATGTCTCACGTATCATGTCTCACGTATCATGTCTCACGTATCATGTCTCACGTATCATGTCTCACGTATCATGTCTCACGTATCATGTCTCACGTATCATGTCTCACGTATCATGTCTCACGTATCATGTCTCACGTATCATGTCTCACGTATCATGTCTCACGTATCATGTCTCACGTATCATGTCTCACGTATCATGTCTCACGTATCATGTCTCACGTATCATGTCTCACGTATCATGTCTCACGTATCATGTCTCACGTATCATGTCTCACGTATCATGTCTCACGTATCATGTCTCACGTATCATGTCTCACGTATCATGTCTCACGTATCATGTCTCACGTATCATGTCTCACGTATCATGTCTCACGTATCATGTCTCACGTATCATGTCTCACGTATCATGTCTCACGTATCATGTCTCACGTATCATGTCTCACGTATCATGTCTCACGTATCATGTCTCACGTATCATGTCTCACGTATCATGTCTCACGTATCATGTCTCACGTATCATGTCTCACGTATCATGTCTCACGTATCATGTCTCACGTATCATGTCTCACGTATCATGTCTCACGTATCATGTCTCACGTATCATGTCTCACGTATCATGTCTCACGTATCATGTCTCACGTATCATGTCTCACGTATCATGTCTCACGTATCATGTCTCACGTATCATGTCTCACGTATCATGTCTCACGTATCATGTCTCACGTATCATGTCTCACGTATCATGTCTCACGTATCATGTCTCACGTATCATGTCACACGTCCTAAACGCACAACAAGACGAACACACATCAAACAGACCTTAAAGTCCTTAAGCCGAGTACTCTTGCAGGAGATCTGCCCATGATGGGTCCACTCGATGATGGGTCCACTTGATGATGGGTCCACTATATGAAGGGTCCACTTGATGATGGGCCCACTCGATGATCGGTCGACTTGATGATGGGTCCACTTGCTGGGTCCACTCGATGATGGGTCCACTCGATTATGGGTGGACTTGATGATGGGTCCACTCGATGATGGCGTGTAAAGTAGCTGTCGACAGCATCACATAAATGTTCTCCCCAACTTCCGGTGAAAGTTCCGGTATCCAAATCACCCTGTGATGAAATAAGTAATAACATAATGAAGAATTTTGTAATGTTTGTCATATTATTAACGATTTAATAAACTTGCTGTTTTGTTATACGGTAATTTATTTTTATCTTACAGTTTATTACTTTATTTCCATCATTCAGAACAAAGAGGAGAATACTTTGTATTGACTTCAGTGTTTTATTATTTACAGCAGACAACTCTGACTATACGTTAACAGACTGAACATTCAAGGGAAGTAACTATGATATGTATAATACAAGGGACGTAACAATAACTAACAAGATATAATTTAAATCTTACTAAAATAATTTTATATTCTATATATATTGTATTATGTCTTTTGTGTCTATGTTCGAATCGTTTAGGAAATGGTCCTGTATAACATAATTGAAAAAAAAAAGTTTTTCTTTAAAAAGAGGGGGTGGGCGGGGGAAGAGACAACTTTCCTGACGAAAAGTATTAAATCCCATAATTTAACTAAATTATCCTAATAATATGAAAGCCAGTGTGCACACCTCTCTCTCTGTCTCTCTCTCTCTCTCTTTCTCTGTCCGCAAAATATTTTCCGAGGCAATGAGATCAGTATCTTCAGCGATATATGGATGTATGGAGACCTTAATGAAACGGGCTTTTGTTGCAAACTATATGTTGGATTATTAAATGTATAACCTAAATTGTATTTAAAGAAGGAAGATGAAAAAGGAATTATCGAATGTAGAAACTTTTTAAATCATGCAACTGGAAAAGTGTTTATGGTTGTGGCAAGAACTCTTTAGAGAACATACAAATTTAAAAACAATGGCGTCATCGCTTTCAGGATAAAAATAGAATGTCGAAAATGATACACAATACTAATGAAGTCATCTTCAATAATATTTGCTTTCCACATTTTCCAATTATAGAATATGAAGAAAGGAACTATTTCGCTCAAATTAGATTTAAATCTATAGATTCTAGATCGGCTTATCAAGACTTAAGCTATAAATGTAGACCTTTATAATTTTCTCGGGCAAAAAAATACTTTAAAAAACAACACGAATAACAGCCGGGCTTTTAACGGAATCATTTTTTAAGTCTGTTAATCAGTTTGTGCATTTAATATGGTTTTGCGTTGACTAATAATGTATATGATTTGTTTTTTCTAATAGGTATTGGTAGCCTATGTTATTTTAAAGGTGTCGGATTTTTAGCTATTTAGTTATTTCTTTAATTTATCGCTAATATCGTTCAACGTGTAGTAAAGCATATTGCGTTTTGACCAATAACTATTTTATAAATTATTTTTCTCCAACAAGAATAACAAAAATATATAGGCATAGGGCTATAATTCGCGTCGGGTACCGATGGCTAGTAGTTTACCATAGGTATTCGAGGATATGTAAAATAAATATCTCATGATACTAAATACTCTATATACTTAGTATATTTCGTATACACTACTATAGACCTATTTGAGAAAGTAAAAATAAAAATAAAAGTTAGCCCTTATAAATTTTAAATATTCTGTACATTGATATTATACAAAACTTACATCAACCCTCGTCGTCAATATGATGCTGTTGTTTAGGTCGACGTTGTTTAGTGGCAATTAGAAAGATAAGTTATCCAAACACATGAACGATTAGCACCATTTTATTAGCAACATCGTCGTCAATATGATGATGTTGTGTAGGTTGACGTTGTTTAGTGGCAATTAGAAAGATAAGTTATCCAAACACATGAAATATTTTATTGAAATCCCTAAATTCAAGATGGAGGTCTAAGTCCAAAGGATACGCGCCTGTTCCCAAAGACACATGACTCGATTCTGCACTAACGTTTGGCCTCCACTGCGCATGACATCTCACAATAATGTGTCACACAATGAACTATTTCTACCCCAGGCACTTGTCAAAACAAACACGGGTACTGGTTGACATTCTACTTGGCACTGTGCTAAACCCATCAAACACACACGTCACACAATCTCACTACACATTCTACTTGCCGCTGTGCTAAACACACGTCACACAATCTCACTACACATTCTTTATAGTGAGCGTTTTCGCATAAACTTCACACAAACCACGTCACCAGACACCCCAGTTTCTTTGTCACCACCCTCCACTGGAATCTATATCTAGGGGGGGGGTCACAATTTATGACGTCAGCATAGGAGGGGGGTGGGAAAAATAGACTTTAGCAGAAGTGTGGATTGTGCGGGGGGGGGGGGTGGTAGGATCTTTTTGTACGTCCACATGATGGATTTAACATTTAAATTAAAAAAAAACTTCTCATATTGTAAATAAGACAAATATACTGGTAGTTTTTAGTAATTCATAATTTATAGGTTCGACACTACCAATGCTGCGACTGGACATCTCTATACATAATATCTAACCCTCCTCCCGCCCCCTCCCACGCTTTCCAGTCTGGTGAGTTGTGATTCACGCCGAATGTTTAAACGATTTGAAACTAAGGGGAGGTAGCCAAGGACCGTAGTCCATACATATTGTACTGTCTAGCGGCCGTTCATAAATGACTTCGCGTTAATTAGCCGAATTTTTCACCCAACCCAAATCGTGTGCACACACCAGATAGCCACTGACGACAATAAAAATGTTTTGTTCTGCAGCCCACCCACCTCCTCTTCAGTAAAAATTTTTTTTTAATTATTTGCATGTCTGACTGTAATAACATGCAATCTCTGACTAGCTTTAAGAAAAATTGTTGGTAAAATGGAGACGTACGCGGTGTCCATATGCGATCACTCTTTGAATTAACAAAAAGTTAAATAGTCTTAGCACATTCACACCGCCACAGTGTGTTTATAGATCAAATGTACTTCCATTGAATTATTTATGGTATCCAGGAAGATAAAATTGTAATCAACTTTCATAAACAGAAAATTAGCCGAGGAAAGAAAAATGTGTTGATGTTTTGTGATCCGTCACACAAAAGATTCTTCAGGGCATGACCACGTGATGTAAACATGTTTATTAACTTGATTCAGTTTCTAATCTTTGTCAACAATCAATAGAGTTACGTTTCCGGCACTAAATGATTGTTTCGGTCTATTTTAAACACTATTGGAGTATTACAGTATCGTCTACAAAAATGTGTAATTAATTGATACCTTGATTAATTGCTGAACTGATATTTGAGTTAGTTGTAACTCGCATGACGAAGATTGTCTAAGTACTGTTTTAACATTCTTTGGGTTGCTTGAAGGGTTTTAAAAACGATACTTTCGGATGCATAGCGACGTATTCCTGCGCCCGGGAGGTGCTATCACTTTAGCTATAACGCTAATAATAAATAGGCCGAGCTATTGTAAATGAACACACACTATAGAAATAACACGGTGAAAATGTACGACAATGCCACGTATAAAATGCTCACACAGAAAAACAACAACTCTGGCGTAATTTCCACACCGGATCTAAATTATAAAAAAAAAGTAACAAAACAACTGAAGCCGTCTTGTTTATCTGACCTATGACCCCCAATACACTTTGCTGTGTTTTACCGTCATGGTTAGTTTATATTTTGTTATTGTAGGTTATGTGAAAAACATGGTGTGGTGACTTAGTCTAGATAGAACATGGTGTGGTGACTTAGTCCAGATAGAACATGGTGTGGTGACGTGTTCTATCTAGAACATGGTGTGGTGACGTAGTCTAGATAGAATATGGTGTGGTGACTTAGTTTAGATAGAACATGGTGTGGTGACTTAGTCTAGATAGAACATGGTGTGGTGACTTAGTCTACATACAACAAGGTGTGGTGACTTAGTCTAGATAGAACATGGTGTGGTGACTTAGTCTAGATAGAACATGGTGTGGTGACTTAGTCTAGATAGAACATGGTGTGGTGACGTGTTCTATCTAGAACATGGTGTGGTGACTTAGTCTAGATAGAACATGGTGTGGTTAAGTGTTCTATCTAGAACATGATGTGGTGACTTAGTCTAGATAGAACATGGTGTGGTGACTTAGTCTAGATAGAACATGGTGTGGTTAAGTGTTCTATCTAGTACATGATGTGGTGACTTAGTCTAGATAGAACATGGTGTGGTGACTTAGTCTAGATAGAACATGGTGTGGTTAAGTGTTCTATCTAGAACATGGTGTGGTGACTTAGTCAAGATAGAACATGGAATGGTGACTTAGTCTAGATAGAAGATGGTGTGGTGACTTAGTCTAGATAGAACATGGTGTGGTGACTTAGTCTAGATAGAACATGGTGTGGTTAAGTGTTCTATCTAGAACATGGTGTGGTGACTTAGTCAAGATAGAACATGGAATGGTGACTTAGTCTAGATAGAAGATGGTGTGGTGACTTAGTCTAGATAGAACATGGTGTGGTTAAGTGTTCAATCTAGAACATGGTGTGGTGACTTAGTCTAGATAGAACATGATGTGGTGACTTAGTCTAGATAGAACATGGTGTGGTGACTTAGTCTAGATAGAACATGGTGTGGTGATTTAGTCTAGATAGAACATGATGTGGTTAAGTGTTCTATCTAGAACATGATGTGGTGACTTAGTCTAGATAGAACATGGTGTGGTGACTTAGTCTAGATAGAACATGGTGTGGTTAAGTGTTCTATCTAGAACATGGTGTGGTGACTTAGTCAAGATAGAACATGGTGTGGTGACTTAGTCTAGATAGAAGATGGTGTGGTGACTTAGTCTAGATAGAACATGGTGTGGTTAAGTGTTCTATCTAGAACATGGTGTGGTGACTTAGTCTAGATAGAACATGATGTGGTGACTTAGTCTAGATAGAACATGGTGTGGTGACTTAGTCTAGATAGAAGATGGTGTGGTGACTTAGTCTAGATAGAACATGGTGTGGTTAAGTGTTCTATCTAGAACATGATGTGGTGACTTAGTCTAGAATCTAGACTAAGTCACCACACCATGTTCTATCTAGACTCTAGATAGAACATGGTGTGGTGACTTAGTCTAGATAGAACATGGTGTGGTTAAGTGTTCTATCTAGAACATGGTGTGGTGACTTAGTCTAGATAGAACATGGTGTGGTGACTTAGTCTAGATAGAACATGGTGTAGTGACTTAGTCTAGATAGAACATGGTGTGGTTAAGTGTTCTATCTAAAACATGATGTGGTGACTTAGTCTAGATAGAACATGGTGTGGTGACTTAGTCTAGATAGAACATGGTGTGGTGACTTAGTCTAGATAGAACATGGTGTGGTGACTTAGTCTAGATAGAACATGGTGTGGTGACTTAGTCTAGATAAAAATGGTGTGGTTAAGTGCTCTATCTAGAACATGGTGTGGTGACTTAGTCTAGATAGAACATGGTGTGGTGACTTAGTCTAGATAGAACATGGTGTGGTGACGTAGTCTAGATAGAACATGGTGTGGTTAAGTGTTCTATCTAGAACATGGTGTGGTGACTTAGTCTAGATAGAACATGGTGTGGTGACTTAGTCTAGATAGAACATGGTGTGGTGACTTAGTCTACATACAACAAGGTGTGGTGACTTAGTCTAGATAGAACATGGTGTGGTGACTTAGTCTAGATAGAACATGGTGTGGTGACTTAGTCTAGATAGAACATGGTGTGGTGACGTGTTCTATCTAGAACATGGTGTGGTGACTTAGTCTAGATAGAACATGGTGTGGTTAAGTGTTCTATCTAGAACATGGTGTGGTGACTTAGTCTAGATAGAACATGGTGTGGTGACTTAGTCTAGATAGAACATGGTGTGGTTAAGTGTTCTATCTAGAACATGATGTGGTGTCTTAGTCTAGATAGATCATGATGTGGTGACTTAGTCTAGATAGAACATGGTGTGGTGACTTAGTCTAGATAGAACATGGTGTGGTTAAGTGTTCTATCTAGAACATGGTGTGGTGACTTAGTCAAGATAGAACATGGTGTGGTGACTTAGTCTAGATAGAAGATGGTGTGGTGACTTAGTCTAGATAGAACATGGTGTGGTTAAGTGTTCTATCTAGAACATGATGTGGTGACTTAGTCTAGAATCTAGACTAAGTCACCACACCATGTTCTATCTAGACTCTAGATAGAACATGGTGTGGTGACTTAGTCTAGATAGAACATGGTGTGGTTAAGTGTTCTATCTAGAACATGGTGTGGTGACTTAGTCTAGATAGAACATGGTGTGGTGACTTAGTCTAGATAGAACATGGTGTGGTGACTTAGTCTAGATAGAACATGGTGTGGTTAAGTGTTCTATCTAAAACATGATGTGGTGACTTAGTCTAGATAGAACATGGTGTGGTGACTTAGTCTAGATAGAACAATGTGTGGTGACTTAGTCTAGATAAAAATGGTGTGGTTAAGTGCTCTATCTAGAACATGGTGTGGTGACTTAGTCTAGATAGAACATGGTGTGGTGACTTAGTCTAGATAGAACATGGTGTGGTGACGTAGTCTAGATAGAACATGGTGTGGTTAAGTGTTCTATCTAGAACATGGTGTGGTGACTTAGTCTAGATAGAACATGGTGTGGTGACTTAGTCTAGATAGAACATGGTGTGGTGACTTAGTCTAGATAGAACATGGTGTGGTGACTTAGTCTAGATAGAACATGGTGTGGTGACTTAGTCTAGATAGAACATGGTGTGGTGACTTAGTCTAGATAGAACATGGTGTGGTGACTTAGTCTAGATAGAACATGGTGTGGTTAAGTGTTCTATCTAGAACATGATGTGGTGACTTAGTCTAAATAGAACATGATGTGGTGACTTAGTCTAAATAGAACATGGTGTGGTGACTTAGTCTAGATAGAACATGGTGTGGTGATTTAGTCTAGATAGAACATGGTGTGGTGACTTAGTTTAGATCAGTGGTTCCCAACCTTTTTCGAGTGGCGACCCCTTTAATAAAAAGTAAGTGACCCGCGACTCCCATAGAATTAAAAAGCCGAAATTAGTATGGGCATTAATAAGCACTAATGTAAGATTTTCTAGTAGACTTTCAATATG